TTGCTATCAATTTACGAGCAACTAAAGTGAGCATTGAACAACTTGTCGAACTGATTATTGCGTAATTTAATCAATTCATTGAAGTATTCATGAGATGCATATTCCGTGAATTAATTCATGGTAATTTATTATAAACATCTGAGTGCTATTGCTTAAGTAATAAATCACTGGATAAAAGGAGACCATTTTGAAACCATTTGCCGGCATTCTAATTGTGCTGTTTGAAAAGTTTTTGATTGAAATTAGTCGACACATACACTACCGTTCAAAAGTTTAAAGAAAACTGTATCAGCTCATTTTTAATTTTCTACTTTGTTTTTGGATGATGCATAGTCGCCTTAATTATAACTTTTGTGCATTAGTGTATATTATAAACATATTTGAACGGTAGTTGTTAGTTCAAATGTGAGCGACAAGAGTTAAGCAAGTCATGAATATTAAATGTGACTACAAATACATTTTAGGAATATTTCATCTTTCATTGCAAAGCGACAGCAACAAAACGCAAAATGCACAATGAATTAAAGTGCACATGTGCATCCACGATAACCATTTAGCTGATTGTAAATTGGATTTCCTCTTACGAAATAGAACCGTTTTTTAGTTGCATTGAAATTTTGTCATATAGTTTTGCGGTGAAAACTTTGTCCGACCAAATCAAACACAATGTCAATTAAACAGAATGTCCTTCTTATGTTATTAGACAACAACAAAAAAAATGTAACAATCATTGCTTAGATTTATGATTCGTTTGACCGAATTGTCGTTTCACATTTTAAAATCCGTATGTTTCACGTAAAAATCTGTTGCATATCGAAATTAAGTTTATCCAACGCAATGTCTCTGTCACAACATTCTGGAGAAATGAAATTGCGATGATATACTTTTTGATTGTGATTTGACAAAAACTAAAGCAATGCGCAATTAAATGATGAACAACACAATCTATGCCAAATTAATGCTGACAAGTTCAAGTCTAAGCTTACGGTTGAAATGAATAAGTCACGTTTTAATACATCGAATGAGCATACGAATCCTTCAGAAAAGATGTTTTTAATTTGATTCTATTTAACATATTTTAGAAGCATTGCAAAGCATTTGCTTTGCATGTGTGTGAAACACAATAAACGACACCACCAAATCACTCTGATAATGGCAATATTCCTAACATCTTTTCTCTCTTAAACAAATCTATATATACAGACACGAGTTTGATGACGAGTGCAGCACATAGAAATAAAATGTGAGTGTTTGCAGTAAATATATTATTGGATGTGAAAGACAGAGAGAACAGTAATGTGTAGTAAGAGTGTATAAAATGAAATAAAATATAGAATGACATAAAATAAATAAAGAAAGGAGCGTATTTGTTTGTGAATAATGAAAGAGCTTCGCCATGACAGAGTGAACATTTTGTCGATATTGACATGTTTTTCAAGCATAAATACTCGCTTTTATCTTGGATAAAGTTCCATCGTAAATAATACCACTCGGTTTGGAGTAGCCAAAATGGAAGGATGCACGTACAATATGTACAACATATTTAAGCTGGTACGTTACAGTAATGAGCGGAATACATTCTTTTTTTTTTTTTCAATTTTCTTTCATTTTCTTTTCACTCAGACTTGAAGATCATCACAAAATAAACCTCATTGAAAAACGTATACAAAGTGACAAAAATGTTAAATTACCACATTAGTATACCGTCTGCTGTGTCTCTTCTCTCTTTACTAACCCGCCCCCTCTTTCCCGTTTCTATCGTCGTTCGTTAAGTTTACACTGTAAGCCGTTCAAGACTCGTTACGTCAAAAACATCTCAATAAATTAAAATAAAATGCACGCGGCTGTCGACATTTACGACAAAACGTCGAAAAGTTATGAGCAAATTATTATTTGCAAATATTGATTTCTGCCTACAATGTTCGGTTGGATTCAATGCAACAGTGGTTCAATGCATGGTTTACATGTCATTTCTACGAGAATTTTTTTTTTATTGATTTTGCTAATAAATCGAGTATAATCAATAAGCTTGCCACATTTCAAATATTTGCATAAATTGTTTGGTAAAAATGATGAGTAATTTACCAAGGCAATTGAAAATGTTGAGGCAATTGCCCAATTTAAAATACGAATGATAGTTAATGTACTATTGATATTCGCCTTATTTTTCGAAAATTGATTGTTTGTACGATGAGTTCAATCACAAACAAAAACTGGAGTGAGATTCTTTTGATTACCGCATATACCACCGACAATGAATGGTCGATTTTTCAACAATGTTGTGGGGCGAATGAAAATTTCTAACCACAATTTTTTTTCTGCGTATGCCACTAGATGTTTTTTTTAATTCTTTTCTTCTCTCTTTTTTTTATCGTTGCTGGCAAATAAATACCAAACAAAAGAAAAACCATTTTACATTTCATAAAATGCTTGTATTTGCAATTCAACTTGATTTTTGGTCGATTTTTCTTGTGGGTGTGTCACACCAAAGCGGAGGAAATTATTTTCCATTAGTTAGACTCTTTTTTCCGAATGTCATGAATATAATAGAATGCCGTCAAGAAGACTCTGTCTCTTACATTGTTGTTTTCGCTTTGTTGTCACTGGCGCCGTCGCCTTTGGCATTGTTATTTGCCGTGCATTCTTTAAAAAAACATACAAATAAGAATTTTGTTAGTTAGCTCCTGCAAAAACTACAGTACCTATACAAACATTGTCTGATCACTTTGTTATGAAAATCATCAAAATTAGAGAAAAATTTGCATTCGGTCAAAAAAAGCAGTGATTTAAGTCATTTTTCTCAAAATCTCTCTTCTACTTTCATCGAATTGCATTTTGGCCAGTTAAATACCAACACAATATTCTTCACTGTTTCGGAACGGACATAAATAATATTGGCAACGAAAATAATTTAAAAAAAATGGAACCACTGTGAGCGTTGGCGAAAATCGAGCCAAATGATGGTGCTGCAGGACCAGTTTTATACTTTGTTCGGTGCTATTTTTGCCTAAAAAATATATTGCAACCTATTTGTAATATATTTAGGTGTCATTTCTCCATTAAGGATGCGTCCCCAGTTGCTCCGGTCAGAGTACTAAAGTACTCAAGTAGCACCAACAATTGGCTCTACGCCTCTTTTCGTTCTTTTTTTGGTTCATGAATATAAAATATCTGTTTAGTGTTTAGCGAAATTGGTAAAAATGTGTTTTAAATTGATAACGCGTGGGAAAAAATAATATCATGACACGCATCGTGTATGGAATTTTAACAAAAATGGAAAACCAACGTCCGTCGTTTGAAAATAAACGTATTTTACCTAATTTTAATCGATTTCAAGGGAAATTACTTCAATTAATATGTCATTTAAATACGGCGATGCGTTGGTGTCGGTTGGTGTATATTGTGGAAATTGACACGTTCGCTTAACATATCATAAATTATAATTTTCACGCTGAAAATACTTATAAATTCAGTGATAATAATTTAACTAAGTCAATTGATAGATGATTTGTTATGTGCTGTTGTCGTGCCTCGCAATAATAAAGGCAAATTATTCTGTACAAGTACAAGTGCTTGAAGAATCTGAACATTAGCATTAATTCTATTTAGACAAGAATATATAATTTTATTTTTTAATTCTAGTCCGCAAGTTTGAAATTCTTTTAAATCAGCATTACATGTGTAAAGGGGGGTGGGGGAGATTATCTGATAAAATAGAAATAAATTGGCACGAACTACGAATTTTATGAATTCCAATGCACACACATAAACCATGACACGATCCACTCTCTATCAAACCGGGTACATGTGAATTCATCAATCAATCGGTATTTATGACTTTGGAGTGTTATGCTTTAGATTGATCTATTTAGAACGATTGAATTTCATGCGAATGCACACAAGAATGATGTGACTATTCAACCGTTTTGATATTGACAAAATGGCGAATGACGAAGGAAAATATAAATGAAATATGTAAGAAAAACAATAACGAATTACATATTGGCAGTCTTTGAATGGAATTAAAGATGGCTGACAAAATTTTTTTAAATTAAAAGCAACACCATACGATTTTCTGCGTTTCAGATCGGTGCACAGCATTATAATTTGTACAGTACAGTGTGGTAAAATGGTATATGGCATAAATGGCTTATGTCTCAGTATACGATGAATAACTTCATCCATCGTCATTTGCTTGTTAGTAGAGGAAGTAAACCCCCGCCACATATGTATTAAGCTTTTGTAATCTTTATACATGCTAAATGTTCCCTCGAAATGTTCCTTCGATTTGCACATAGATACATTTTAGAGGCTTACATGGCTGTTCACTCAAAAACTCGCATTCACAACGATGAGAATATTTGATGATGGTTAATTTTCGATCAAATATCTGCTAAATTGCTGCTGCCGTTGTTGATGAAACCGAAATTCATTCGGCCAGTGTTAAAAGTCAATCCAAATGAAAAATAAATTACCGAAATGAATAAATGGAGTGGTTGGGCTTGGAAGCAAACTTTCAAAGTTAAACACGAAGACGGAACCAAACATTAACATAGAATTTTCGATTCTCGCTATCTCTCATTAATTAAAAAATACACTGGCAAATTTGTAGATCGGATTACATTGTATATTTATCGTCTACTATATTTTAGTAAATAATTCAAGTTGAAATCAAAACAATATGTTGGTCAATATACCATTCTTAGTACCCGAAATTTTAATTTTCTTGTGGGTATACATCGAGTATTTAAAAGCAAAACAACGCTCGAATTCAATGACGCCAACATATTTGTTTGGACAGACATTGTTTGGTGCCCCAAAAAGTGCACGGCTATGACTTATTTGTTGTGCGCGCACACTCGCACACCCAAAACAAAAAAAAAATGAAAAGAAAAAGACGAATTCATGCAAACTCTTCGAAATACAAGCATCAGAATCTACGAAAATGAAAGCGACACAGATGAACGAAACTTAATATTATCGTCAAATGGGAAAATTACCTTTTGGATAGACATAACCCATGTTTTCGGTTCGTTTATTGCTTCGGTGGATCGAAATGACGGTTGCGATGACAATGTTAATGGTAACACCTGCAGTTGGTGCTCGTTATATTGTATTCGGTTATCAGTATGAATGAGTAAACAGGGAGCACGTTCTCAATCTCAATTCAAATGTAATAGTTGAGTAAAAGTTACTAGTTCGACAACGGTGGCCCATAAACTATTCTGTGATTGCTTTTGTTGTTGCAAATACTCAGCATTTGTTATTTATGTTGAATACCATATTCAAGTTAATGGTCCAAATGTGTTGCTACATTGAATGCAATCTAGATATTCGGATGATCTGTATACGTTTCCTATTCGTTTTCGTCCGATCTTCAATTCACCGGAGGGCATGCGTTTGAGACTTATAAACCTTCTTCTTTTATTTGATATTCCTTCTCTTTCTCTCTCTCTCACTCTCTCTCTCTCTCTCTCTCTCTCTCTGTTTGTGTGTGTCCGTTCCACGATTTTGTTACTATAACGTCAAATATATATCCATATCTAAATGTTTCTTCTGTGTATTCTATTTCGTGTTCGCATCCAAAAATGTTAATTTGATGGTCGCTTTGGTTTCATTGCATCCACCTTCACCACAATGCTAGTACGATAAACGCAAAACAGTTTTGTCGTTTAACTCGATTTGCTTAAACAAAAAATTAACCATATGTCTTGTTACACGATAGAACGATGCAACAATGTGTTGGTGAAACATTTGCATAAATAAGCTTATTTCGAAATCGGTTATCGAAGAAAGGGATAACAAAAGAAAAACTAAATATCAAATAAGGCGATTGGACGAAAGGCGATGAGATTTTGATGGAGGGATAACGCAATTCCAATAATTTTCAATGATGTAGTGTATGAATTTTCCGCTAATTCCAAATGAATCGATTCTATTCTCTTTCTCTCTCTTTTTTCTCCCCCCTTTAAATGTCAATTATTCGAATTCAGTTTCAATTGCCAAATGCTGACGCTAAATGTATGCGATGCCCATCATTTACACATTTTGTTCGTTATTTGTTGCATGTTCCGCTTTTCTACCTTTTGCGTAAATTATTTTTATCCATCGTTCGAAATGATGAAGTGTCAGTAACAATTGTGATGGTTTCTCAACGATATCAATTTTACGCGGCAATAATAATGAATTGCTGGTTGGTATTTTGATTTTCTTCTCTCTCTGTTTTTTTTTTTTTGTTCTATGCCTCTTTGTTAAATAAAAGCAATGGCAACAACAACGGTATACATTCACATCTGCGGCCACTTCACTCGTTTCCTTCGATTCCGTCGTTGCTTTGTCGTGTTTCTCAATTTTCCGTCTTTTTTTATTTGCACATAAAGTGGCATAATTCAATCAGAAAGGTTTCGCCTAGAATGTGCCCCACAACAAATGTAGACGAACAGCAACAGCAAAAATTTCAATTGAATGAGCTAGCAAATGAATTTTGTTATTTCCCATTGTTTAAGTTGCATTTTTCACTTCGGTACACAACTAGAGGTCCACTTTTCTTAACTCAATTTCCGTTCTTTGTGAAATGCACATAACGGCGCATTGGTGCGTCACAATGATCAGGATGTATCGTTGATAATTCCAACCAATAATAATTTAAAGGAAAGCTCTCAATATCCGATAAAACTGTGCACAATTTCTTCAATTCAGTTTATGAGAAAGAACAATGTTGCAAATCGGTGAGTAATCATAACAGCCGAAATCGATGACTTCGAAACAGTGGCGGTTAGTTTGTTTGCACAATTTCAACTTTATGTCATGGAGTTTTTAACCTAAATATTGACACTTGCAAGCATTCCGTAAGCCTTTCTACCGAAAAAGTCTTGTTTATATATCTCGACAATTTTTAAACTCGTAAAATATTCGTTTTTATCATTAAGTTACCCCTTTTTTATTCGCTTACACATTTAAACACAAACACTTTTCGTGGTATCGCATATTGAATATTTTCCTCATGTCCAAGTTTTCTATTCAGTTCGCGTCAATGTCGTGCTATTTATTGTGCGAGAGAAGAAAAAAACGAACACTTGTTTCAATGTTCTTTTCGGTTGTTGCGATTCTTTAGAGGCACTGTTGTTCTATCGCATACAATCTTATCAAACACCTCAAGTGCAATTTCATGCAGAAGCCATTGATTATCCGTCCTATAGTCATCTATTATTCTTTTGGTTAATGACTTATCGCTTTAAGTTCATGTCTTTGCCATCAAATCAATTTTTATCAAATCGCTTAAAGAGACAGAGTACAGCATCATAATCGTGATGTAGATTGTTTGTCAAACAGTTTACGGAGTTTCGAAACCATATCGTATGAATCAACTGACAAGTGTGCACATAGTCTTTTACTTATTTGCTCATTACTTGTGCATCATTGGCATAAATGTTCATAAAACACGAAAACATACACGATAATATGCAATTAAAGGCAACTAAAGAATAAGTCCATAACACATAAAAAAGTATACAGTAGAGTTCAAAACACAAATTGGATTTATGATTTTTTTTTTGTATTGAAATTTTGTCGTTCGTCGTTTCACGTTTTTTTTTTTCACTGACTCTCACGGTATGACTTTTTTGTTGACTCTACAGATTCTCATCCGGGACTAAGCAACCGAGAAGAGAAAAAATGGTTTTCTTACTTTGATTGTTCGAACACATTGCAACAGCAACAAAGTGGGAAATCTTTAGGTTACGAAACGATTTTGCGCAAGAGTGTATTTTAAGCAAAAATGTGAACTGTTCTTAAAAATCAGACATTTCAAATAAAAATCAAACATATGAACTATGTCGTGAAGTGTATAGGAATGTCTCTTGGAAAATTCATGTGAATTCATAACGAATGAGCATTTGTCTTGTGTTAGTTGTTCCGAATTCCAAAGATTTCTGATAGCTTAGTTGTTGCCACAAATACATATTCAATGAAAAGCGTATCTAGTTTTTCGCAATGAATATCAAATACAAGCGCACAGAACGAACCAATACAAGGGCACATTTGCGTACAACATTTACTATAGAAGAGTAAGCACGTAACTTTCTCTTTCCATAATATACCGCGGATTTCATCCCTGTCGTTGTTGTTGATGCTACATTCTGCTTACGCTAGTGATGGTAATGGTATTGGTATCAGCGATGTTTTACTTTGGTCCATTTTACTCGGTGGTGCTTGTAGTTCACATATTCCTCATACGACAACGTCCAAAACATTGCCATTATAACACGCATACACACATAACAACCATATACACACACACACATACGTACAGTATGAGCGATAACAATATCCTCTAGGATGGAGCCATCGGATGCGAGCAAATGAAAACAATCATTCCACTTGAATGTTTTTGTATTTGGCAAGTTCAGTTCTCGATTTACAAGTGTGAGAGTTACGATTCAAATGAATGCTTATACATACAAGTGATTCTTTTTATTGAATGATTTTTGCATTTGTTTTCAATGTTAAATCGCATTCGTAAAATCAGACATGCTTATGCATGTAAAAATTTATGAAAAACTTGCAGTAAATATATTCGACAGGACTACAATTGAAAAAAAAAAGCTCAGCATTTGGCATTGTTTCTGATATGGAAAATCGACGGCCGATAAATTTCGAATTGAGTGTCATGTAAACGAAATACAATAAGCATCAACTAACTAAGCGGCGAAATGAAAAACAAATGGAATGAAAAAATCATCTAACATGCTCATGCAATGAAATGGAACAAAGCAATTGATATTGTGGGATATTATATTTGGTTCGAATGTTTCCGCCGCTTTTTTTCCACATTGAAACAAAAGCACACACACACATACACGCAAACAATCCATATACACACGTACCGACGATGTGCAAAACATCATCTCGATCTCAGCTCGGATTCTGTTTGCATTCATCTGTGTGTGGTCGGATTTTCGTGTTGATGTTTTGGGGTGCGTCGCGCATGAGCTATACATTTACATCGATCCGTAAACAATGTTGATGTACATGCATATCGACTCGAATGCTATAGATGTTCTAAAAATCGGCTGTAGACCGTGGAATCTGCCAAAAAATGTGTGAGCGAAAAAAAACACACACACACACACACAACAATAGCAAACTAAGATGAATCCAAATAGAATGCCAAACGCTCACAGGTGCGATGGTTGCATTCATTGGCATATACCAAGACCAAGTGGTAAATGTTTTTGCTTCGTCGTTTCGATTGAATCGTCGATTAATTTTTCTTCTCTTCCACATTTTATTTCATGTGCTTTTTGGACAATTCTATGAACATATATACCATGGCATGTTTGTGTGAGTGGCGTACGTGTATATATAGTGATATTTAGCGCCTATGTCTATCTACAAGATGCTATATCAAACAATACATCATTGCTATAATTTTCCGTTAACTTTTGGCAAACAGCAATAGAAACGTGCGTACTGCGTGTAAAAAAGCTTTGAATGCAAGCAATTTATACAACATATGAAATGTTTCAGTATCGTTTAACGAGTATAGGAGGAATGGGAAAATTTCAAATTCCATAGCTGATCGTTGTCTTTTTTTTCCTTTGGAAAATTAAATAATGTCCCAAGAATGTTAATAAAATAAATAAATTACTCCAATGCAGTCGCTAAAGAGATAAGATCTTCGTTTTAGCATTTTATTCTAAATAATGTTGAAATTCTGAAATAGGGCTGTCGGATTTTGTTTCTCTTCGGCATTTTCTTTTTGTTCAATGATTGCGAATACACCTAAATTTTCAGCAATTTTTCAAGATACTTGAAATAATAATCACAATTTTTTTCCCGAAAGTAGTTCCTTTTTTTCGGTTGGTCATAATGAATATACAAACTTCCTTACTGTGACAAACAACACACAACGGAATTCATAGCATTCTTGATATTCAATTTGATCTACAAACTGGAATTTTCTCATAATTACAACTTTGAATCTTATGAACATCATCTAATTACATAGAAAAATTTGAGTTCATGCCCCCCACCATGACATGTATTGGGCGATATGGAAAATAACTGAAAAAGATACATCGAATGGATGAACTTTTATCCAATTAAAATATGATAAACATTTGATAAACGAAAGCTAAAGCTTGAATTAAGCCTTAAATCGTTGCACATACTGCGTCCAGAGCATTTCTGAGGCTCCGATAACGCGTGTGCGTTAAAAACAGCTTGATGAAAGTATCCGGCGGTAACCCTTGGTTGTACGATTGATGGCAGTATACAGAGAGAATGAGGCCATCAAATTAATTTTCATCATGCATATTTGCACTATATGTACTAGTGATGATGACTTAAAAAAATAGTTTTTCTTTATCTGTTATCCTCTCTCATCTCTTCCTCCTTCCCTGAATGATATGGACACAACATCAAAAAAAGAAAAATTGAGCGAATGCGTGGGAGAGAGATAAAAGGGGAAAAATCATAAATAAAATGAACTGAAAAACCAAAAAATAAGACCAAGTGAAGCAAATAAAATGAAAGCAAAGGGCAAAATGCAAGAAATAGCAATATAAATATCCTAGCATGGCATTTTATATGCAGACATCAATTCCGTTTCATTCAGCTTTAGCATTTATACAGTCGGGCGGGGAGAGAGAGAGAGAGGGATAGGAGAATCGAGACACGCATACGGTCCATGTGTGATGTATATTAGACACAATGCTTGGGCGACAGCATAGGCGAACGGCTTGACAGCTGTACGGCTGAGCTCACATTTCACTGAATATGGAAACGGTGCCACAAATGCCACTGTTATTATACATTTTCACTGTAAACACACACATTATTGTTCCTTTTGTTCAGCCTGAGTTGTTCATTTTCGTAAGGCATTCATTGATTTATGAATATATGGAATAATACGTAGGTTGCTCCATAATTTTTTTTAAAATGGTACTTATAGTGTTGCCCGATGTAAACCATTGTCATATTCGTAAAGTTTGATGTTTTGGTATGTATTCGTGCCCTGAACCTTTTGTCGTACGAACGCTATTTGTATTGTTTACAGTGACTGGTAAACTGCGACTCAACAAAAAAATGAATTTTACACGTGAAGATTTTCGTAAAATGATTTACTACGATTTTCGAAGTAAATTATCTCAACAACAGTGTTTCGATCGACTTCATTTGGCCTTTGGCAATGAAGCACCAACCCTTCAGACAATTTATAACTGGTACCGAGAATTCCGTTGCGGTCGTAGTTCGCTCAAAGACGAGTTTCATACAGGTCGTCCAAAATCGGCTGTTGTGCCACAAAACATCGATGCTGTCAGAAAACTGATTATGGAAGATCGTCATGTGACCTACCGTGAGATTGAGGCATCTTTGGGCATTTCATCCCACAGCATACATACAATTTTGCATGAACATTTAGCCGTAAAAAAGATTTGCTCTCGTTGGATCCCACATAAATTGACCGATGAACAAAAAATGGCTCGTGTGAGTTGGTGTAAAGAAATGCTCAAGAAATTCAATCGTGGTGATTCAAAATCCGAGTATTTTATCGTCACTGGTGGCGAATCATGGATCTACGCGTATGAGCCCGAAACTAAACAGCAGTCGACTGTATGGGTCTTTCAAAGTGAAGATAACCCAACAAAAGTTGTTCGAGCTCGAAGTGTTGCGAAGCAAATGGTCGCCTGTTTTTTCGCGATAAGTGGTCATGTGGCAACCGTTCCACTAGAGGATCGTAAGACCGTCAATTCTGATTGGTATACCACCATTTGTTTGCCCGAAGTGTTTGGTGAAATAAGAAAAAACAACCACCGTCGCAAAATAATTCTTCATCACGATAATGCGAGCTCTCACACATCTTTTCAAACTACTCGATTTTTGACCGGTCAAAACATCGAACTGATGGGTCATCCACCGTACAGTTCTGACCTGGCACCCAATGACTTTTTTTTGTTCCCAAGCGTGAAGAAAAAACTACGTGGTCAACGATTTTCGACACCAGAAGAAGCAGTTGAAGCGTTCAAAACACACGTTTTGGAGATATCAGTTTCGGAGTGGCACGAATGCTATGACAAATGGTTTCATCGAATGCAAAAGTGTATCGATCATCTCGGGGAATATTTTGAAAAACAATAAAACCATTTTCGACAAAAAACAACTGTGTTATATATGTTTTTAAAAAAAATTATGGAGCAACCCTCGTATATCGAATGTGTATACATTTATTTATGTTGTTAATTTTGCATTTTTCTTTTTTGACAAATACAATCATTGTTGTTAGCATTAGTTTTAATCGATATTAACGTAATAATTTGGTGAATGTTCAACGGGTTGTATGTGAAAATGTAGAAAAAAATCCAAATTTATCGAAGCATCATCGTATTGTATGTTATGCTAATATTTACATTTTAGTATTCATTGCCATTTAGTTGCTCATGCATTAATCGTTTTGATGGCGCGTAATAAAAGCTATATTGAATCATGTCTTTCGATTATGCTGTATTGATTCACGCTCCTCGCATATTAGAGCATGTGCAAATCATGTATAGTGCCATAGTCAAGACCTTGTAGTTGGAATGATATTTTATTGATCGAATTTCGTAATACGATAAAGATGATAACCGATTTCAATAGTGAGATTATGACATGGTATGACGATTCATCAAATTCAATAACTCGTTTCGATTCGATTAAAGAAAGGAAATCAATTGATTGCCGATGAATGGAACCAATTTTCGACTGTTAAATTGTAATATTAGAAAATCATCGAAAAACCGTTGGAGTTGGATGGATTTACTTTTGAAATTATTGAAAAGCGAATACTGCATCCGTGTTAACCACCATTGAATATAAAATGAAAATAGTTTCCATTACTTTTCGCATTCCACTAGAAAATTTTGCAATACTTGTACTTCTCAACGCCAACCCCATTTGTGTGAATCACTGGTTTACTCCCATTCACTATTTCTTTTCACTCTCACTCATTTTCCTTTTCGCGTCCTCATCAACATCATGCACTATCATACAGAACAAAGAATCGTTGTTCTCCATTTTAGTGTCAAGTTTCATCTTTTCAATCCAGTGTCATGTGTGCTTACATTTTATATTGAAATTGTTCGATTTTCTCATTCACCGTCATTAAAATAGCTATTGTAAACGACGACCATATTCACACACGCATGCAGAATTGAACTGATAAGATTCGAGAAAATCTCCATTGAAAGCAATAGTTGGATCGGAAATTACGAAGCATGTCGAATTCTTTGACATTTTTTTTGTCCCTTTTGCATAGTTGATCATATTTGAAGAGGATGTGTCACTTTGCTTTCATTTCCGTAAACATTTCTCGGTTTTTTTTCTCTCGTTTAACATATTGTGATGTTATGGTTTTTTTTTTGTTTTGCTCTAGTCAAAAAAATGTTAAACTTCCTGTTCAAATCATTTACTAAATTGATAAATATTTAATTCTATGACAGCGTTTACTATACATATGTCCTTAGTTTTTCCAAGCACCAATGGCTTCATGAACAATACCTTCCAATGTATATTACTTCTGTATATTTGATTTTTATTCAAATTCTTCCGTTTGAAGGAATAAGAAATTCAGAATAAATTGTATTTATCGTATTTTCGCTCAAAAACGCGTAACTTTCTGGTAGAAAGTCCGTTTTTTTTTTATTTGAAAAACTTTTGCATTTTTGTAACAAATGAAATGCATGTTATATTTGCTTTCTTTTTAAAACAATGCGCGATTCAACCAACAAAGCAATAGCGTCAACGTCGACAAAGTATAATAATAATAATAATAATATTTGTTCTTCCGAAATTAACATTTTATCGTATTTTCAAGCCCATTACAAGTGAAACTTAATAAAAAAATATTTTCTAGATAATATAAGAAAACTCATTTGATTCGATTATGCGTACGGATTGTGGAGAAGAAAAAAAAGCATAAAAGACGCGATTCCGCACACCTGTCGGCGGCTACTTGAATTCTTGTTGAGACTGTCGAGTGAATTTTCCACTCATTTCTCTCCGTCGCAAAAAAAATTGCCTAGTAGCACTGCTAAACACAGATGAACACATGGAATGGTTCTTTTTAGATTTTAATCGTTATTATTATTGCGGAAACTTTCGAAAATAGCATAGATACTTCCCTCTGTCTCTCTGCATCTTCTTTTTTACATTCTTTTTGCGCGGAATTACTCCGTTTCGGAAAGTGTTTTGGCTTGTTGCGAACATCATTGAGGAAATATAATGTAGTGTGCATAACGGAAGTTATTCTTTATTTGGAATGATTTGAAAATCATAGCATAGTTATATATGTATATAATTCTTTTTTTGCTCATTTCTGCAAACAATCGCCGTGACATATGTAGAATCCACATTGTGTGATGTTGTATTGAATTGATTCTATTGTTGTATGCAAATAGAAATGATAACAAATGATTTTCACAATGATGACACCTGTCTTTTTGCTACAATTTATGTCGCTGAAACTAAAACAACTCAAATCAAAAGGCATACAATTTAAACTGTTTCCACATGAAAAAAAAAATCATTTTTATTCAATTATTTCGATTCATAAAGTCGTTTTTCTCTTTGGCAGTTGTGTATATAAAGCCAATAAATAAGGTACAGTTTTCATCTTGCTCAACAACAAAAATAAAACAGTCATATTGTAAATATATGTAATCTTCTTCTTATCTTCTTCTTCAGTATTATGTTTGGTGGGAAATTTTTTTTTGTACTTAATTCTAAAGCAATCGTTTGCGGCATTTTGGTGCTCCACATTTGCATTCCATTTCACGACCAACAATGCTGCCAACCAAATAGTTGTAGTCCCATGTCAATTCAGTACCCGCCCTAATATCAAACGCGGTAAAAAATGCGAGCCATGGAAATCGCAAATCATGAGTATCAATGAATACCGTTTGCGAAAATAGATTAGGTGAACATGAGTGCTGAAAACACACAGATAAAATAAATATTGTTAAATGTTTTGCTGTCAAAATTATTGAAGAAAAAAAACTTACATTAAAGAATCGGCTAATGTTCCCACGATAACGACCGTCCACCACGAATTCAACGGCATTTTCACCAAACAGTGATGTTCGTTGTGTGTCCTCTGTCTTTTCTCTTTTCTTCAGAATGTCCGGAAAATATGGAAGAACCACTTTTGATTTAAAACGTTGAAATCGTTTCTTCGAGTCGTCCAATTTCATTCGTTTTAGTGGTGTTTCCAGTAGTTCATCTGGTACTTCCAGTAGGTCCTCTGGTATTTCAACGTCTGATTCGTAACCATCTTTATACTGTTCGGCAACTTCAATATGGTCCAATTGCATAAAATATTCATCGCCGTAAATCGATCCAACCTTTTTCATTGCACGCTCATCGGCAGTTTTTCCATGTAGTAAATCGCCAAAATAACAAGCCACAAATGTGCCCTACGAAAAATTCCAATTAATGAAATGATAAAATAATTCTATAAAAAATTGTTTATCTACCTTTGGTAAATCGGTTTGGCAACGAATTCCATAGCCGCGATCCTTTGTTTCGTACAATTCCAATTTTTGTTCAACTTGAGCTTTGACAACACGATTCAAACAACGGCTAGAACATTTACAATTCGAATTGCATTCATAGATGCCCGTGGCGATTCGATTGTCCAAGCGTTTAAAGTTGTAGCCAATGCTTGTGTTTGAATTATTTTGCGTAAGTTTCCAGCACGAACAATTTGATTTATCCGAACAGTCATCATCACAATTGCAACTACTAAGAAACGGATTATGATCTTCACTTAATATTGCGGGTACTTTTTTGCTTCGAGGATTACGTATGTATCGCGTCACATATTCATCGAAATCGGGCTTATTTTTACTTATCGATACGACGGGTATGGGTCGATTTTCTCTCCAGCCACCAGACACCAACTGCAATGGAAAAGTTTCGAGTTTTTTTTTTAAATGTATGTTTTCAAGTATATCCGTCAATTTGATGGTACATAGAGTGTACTAACGACGAGTAAACAGAGTACTTTTCATGTGTGTTTATATCGCGTTCACTCTATATTTCACATATCTACTATTGATTCCTTTATGCATCATTCAACACTTACATTATTGAGATAATCCATGTTTTCACTTGCGGTTCTTACTTCAGTCAAGACATCGATGTAAGGAGAGTATGTAAAACAATCGATCGTTAGCTTCGATTTGGTAGTTAGCAAGTATTTGTGTAGGGCATCAATCGAATTAAATGGTCTACCGCATGGCGTAACGTAATGACAGAGACCGGTAGTTGGCCGCTTCCATCCGGCCAACAATGGACGTTTTAATGGATCGAATTCGAATATTTTGGCATCTTCTTCATATTCTTCTACACATTTCCGATTGCAGATGTGTCGACGATCGAGTTTTATTCCTGGCTTATAATTTTTAATGAGATCCTTTGGTGAGCATACAACAATTTCCTGTGACAAATCTGTTGCTTCTATCGGCATTTTATACTTTTTCGGCGATAGAAATTCTTCATCTTCTTCGCTATCTGATGAAACTTCAATCATTGTTGTGTTCGCATGATAAAATCGTTTAAGCTTATCATTTCTGATAATTGCATTCCAAACCGGCTCCAAACGGGGCGAACCTACATACAACCATTCGCCGTAACTTGATTTCTCAAAATGAAGCAAGAAAACGCCCGGTTTCTCTTGACACGATTCAACAATGTTGGCCAATTCAAATTCACCGTTCAAAAAACAACGAATATAACCACCTTCTTGGCCAACGATTTCAGCCAATCGACTTTTGAAATAGTACTCGTAAAATTCTCGTCCATTTTTGTGAACATGTTTGTGACTGTATTTGGCAAAAACGGGCCGAATCTTTGGTACAGGTATGTATTGAACGTGCCCATCATCAAAAAATACCAAATGATGCCATGTATCATTCTCGAAATAGGAGTAATTGCTGATAATACCGGCATAAAAATCTCGTTCATCACATTTATAAAGTTGACAGTATTCGTCACCAATGCGTGCACATGGTAACATTCCCTGTTGACGGCGCGCAATAACTCTTGTTTTCATCTGCAATTTATGGGTCGGCGCTGGTTCGGTTGCATTTGCTATGTATTGATGTGGAATTGTTTTAATTGTGCCATCAAGACATTTGACCACGTAGTATTCCATTGGTTCACTATTTTCATCGTCGTCGGATTCGTCGCTACTTAAACTTATTACGTCTATATCCGGTAATTTTGATTGTACCACTGAATGTTTGACTATCAAATAAAATGAAAGAATTTAAATAAAAACAACGTGTCATCAACGTGATAAATTATAATTTGCAAAAGACATCGATAACATTTTGTGTTTCTCTCCCACCCCAGTGACTAAAACCATGCTGTTGTGATCACAACCACTCACAATTTATAACGGTGCATTTATGCTTACGCACGGTAGAGCATAAAACTGGTGCACACTGTGTACAGCCTACTATGATGTTGCGCTACAATAGTTGCTGTTTTCTGAGAACGTTCACTAAGTCAACCATGTGATTTTATTCACAAATCGCTATTCCTATCGAACTGTATACTCTCGATGAGATTCAAATTATATTGCGTTCAATTTGAAAATAAACACGAAATCATTTTATTTCGCAATCGAAATTTTAAATGAATCGCTTATTTTGACTCTCTTCGAATAATTGATCTTTTTAAAAAAAATTATATACAAAAATGATTACCATCAGTTACATCGTCATCGTCGTCACTGTCATTGATGACAATTGTCTCGGCCGTATTCATAACAGCTTTTGGATTGGTACTTTTTTTTATGTAGGTAACGGGTTGCCACGGCCCAATATATTGCGGATCACAGGTAATATTTGCATAGAATTGCATTTTTGGTCGTCGATTCGCTGAATCTGTGTCAGCAACTTTCGTGTCTTTAGTATCAACTGAAAAAAAAAAATACAATGTCAACAGAAAAATAACATAATTGTGCACAAAATACGAAAAATGGTCTGTTCACAAATTAAAATGAAGTGCATTTTCAAAATTGCAAACCAAACAAAAAAAATGTATACTGTTTCGCTTTTGGTTGGTTTCTGTCACACATGATTTTTGCAATGCAAACAATTTACTTACGATTTGGGCTAGCCAATGGAGGAGATGGTGACACCGCACCGCCTGTGTAATACGCTGAATCGTTTGACTCTTCTGAACTCACAGGTGCTCCAATGTTTGCTTTCTTATTCCGATGATCATTTGATCTACTTATGCCTAATGACTTTGAACAGCTGATTTCTGATGGCTTTCTGCTTTCATCCGAATCAAATTCCATTCTGGTGACTATTTGTACGTTATTTCAGTCAATTGATATGAGATTTGCTATAAATTTTCTAATTCTATTTCAAATTTACGCAAATATCGTTGCTCTAGCTAAGTAAATGTTCAGTTAAAGAAGTTTAAATATCTGTCTTCTTAAGTGTCAAGTGCGGTTTTCAAATGTCAAATGCAATATCTTTTTTATCGGTAAAATTTTGTAGCAAAAAAAAACGCCAATGCAAACTACAAAACGAAGTTTACAGAGGGATGATCTATTTAAAAACAAAAATGAACACCTGGCCAATTGCATAAAATTTTAAACCTAATGACCAATTTATTGATTCTGAGCAAAAAAAAATGTTCAGACATAAACAGATGATATTTCCGAAATTATCGTGTTACAACGATTGAATGTAAAACAAAAAAAAAAGAAAGATATGTCAATGCTAATGAGTAGTAGTGAAGGGTGAGTAATTGTTTAAAAAATAAACGGTAGATGTCGCTTTTTACCAAGACAAATATCGCACATTTATCTCATTTGTAATAAAAAATCGATTTTATTAAAATTTTTACAACAACTAATGTTTAATCCTATTTACAAAAAAGCGATTTGATTTGTTGTTTCTATGCGAGACACTCAATTGGCTTTAGTTATGCGCGCCGTTACACTTGACGTGATGATTGATATTCAAAATGGAGGTTCATGTTTGTTTAATGGCCTCCGGTTTTTATGTTTATTCGACTTGATTTCTCTGAAATTGATAGAATCACGAAAATATAATAGTATCTGTCGCTTTCACAAACGAAATATAATCTAGTAAACAACGTTTGAATTAAATTCTTATCATGTTTATACGTGATTATTTGAAGTTATCAATTCGTGGAATATGCATGCAAATGAAAGGCTAACCAAGAAACATGATCTATTCCCTTGTGTGACATGCAACGTTCTAATGAAAAAGTGATGAAAATGAACGAGGTAGACAAGGGCTTTGAATATTGCAAACTGTGTATGAATAACTCATAATGAGTCATATGCAAATGAATGAAAACAAAAATTGTGAAAATTGGTCGTTGCCAGAGTTGATAGATTTTCAGTCGGAAAATGTTAATTTTAATGTATTTTTTCCTATGCATGTTTGAATATAGATAGTCGGTTGGAATTTGTTGAACAAGAATGTTCCCGATACTGAAACAGTTTACGAACAAATCTACGTATGTGGTTTAACATTTGCAAACCCGTTTTTCCAATCGGAATTTAATGTGTGTTGAACGGATGTTAGAGATGTTTGGTTAGATTATGATTTTATCAAATGTTAGCATCTTAACAATTGGCATATGTTATTTTATTTGCAAGCGTTAACATGTCCTTCATGTTTTTGGGCGAGAAAACCGTATGTGCATTTTACAGGATTATAATTTATTATGCTTGATTCGATGCTGTTAATTTTATCGCCTTTTCACCAGCAGCAATCTCGGCGAGGCGTCAATGTTTGCAAGGAAATGGAAACAGATGACTAACTGTGTGAGTGTGCTGTTGTTTCGCACTTGGCAATTTCAAAAACATGATGCTGTGCATCGAATGCTACATAATGTTTTGCAATTGCAAACCAATTGCTATCAGCATGAGTTTGTAGCAAAGCATGTTAATGATTAAGCAAACATTGGTGGGTGTTGAGATGGCGACGTAAACCATGAAAAGTGAATATTTTATATATCAAACACAGTGCACAAGCACAAGCACATGTGTTGCTAAAATGCTCTTGTAATGGGAATATGTTACCATTTTACGGGTGACACACAAGTAGCTTAAGCGTTGCTTGAAAATGATGCGCTGAATATCATGGCCATCAATTTATGATTGGAAACATTTCATCGTATGTATGCATGCAAGTGTATTTAACAGTTGTTCAATTAAATTAAGAGGAAAATTCGAATATGTTTGAGCTAGAGCTGTGCATTATAATTGAATTTTCACGTACCTGATGTGCATTCGCAGCAATTTGGTTGCCACTGTTGCGCTTCGATGCAGCAAATTTTTCGGTTAACGATATGATTTGGTTATTTATTCGAATGGTTTTTTCGTGTTGTAACATTTTCAAATTGCCAAGTGGATTCGGTACCATGGTCTTTGACTATTAACCCGTTTTTTCGATAAATCGATCTTAATTGATCGCATATTGCGAACAAACTTTTATCTTTGTTCGCTTTGGCGTCGCTCAATAAATTCGTTCGGTATATCAAGATATCGTTTATTAGATTTTCGGCGACAAACTTATTTCCGCTCGTATTTTCATCGCTTTTACACTGCAATACATTTTCATGATGTTCGAATACTTTGGGTATAACATTTTTTAAGCCAACCATCGTCAGAAAATCTTTGACCATATGTTGGCCACATTTTATCAAATCAGATCCATTTCCATCTGAATTTGGTTGTGAACACTCTTGTAATTGTTGCATTGGATTGATTGCTTTATTGATAGCGCCAACCAATTCCATTAAATCAAGAATACATGTTCTCGTATCAAAATCATTTTTCAGCGATTTATCGATTTTCAGTTGTGTTAAATGAATTAATTGCGAAATTTCGTTGCGATTTGAAATGCGTCGCTGAAGTGTGGTGCTGTGTTTTAAAAATCGTTGTGTATCGTCGAAAAACGAAACAAAACGCTTCAACGTGTTGCCGGCATCTAGTAAAAGTTCATCGCTAAATTCAACATGTGTACGATAATTCGTCAACAAACATGCCATTCGTAATTGATCGCTCGAGTAATGTTTTAGAAATTCTTTTATTGTGATCACATTTTTTAATGATTTTGACATTTTTATATTATCGCTGGTAACCAAATGTCCTATGTGCAACCAATAGTTGACCCACTGTTTTCGTTCGTGATACGAACAACATTGTGACTCTTCATTTTCGTGATGCGGAAACATCAAATCAATTCCACCGGCATGCAAATCAATGGTGTTGCCAAAAATTTCGGTTGCCATTGCGGCGCATTCTGTATGCCAACCAGGTCGTCCGATTGTCAATACATTTGGATCGTTTTCATACGTCCACGGTACATTCCAATGTGGTTCACCTGCTTTGGCAGCCTTCCACAATGCATAGTCTTTAATCGATTTACGCACCAATAATTTATTTGTGAGTTCGTTTTGTTGATCATTTGGACCAAGTAAATTTCGTAATTTACCATTGGCTCTTGGATTGTTAAAATACACTGAACCATCGGATGCAACGTAAGCACAATTTTTTGCCAATAATTGATCAATAAATGAAATAATTTGGGGCATCCATTCGGAAACGCGTAAGATAAGGTCAGCTCGTTGAATGTTTAACGCATCCATATCTTGCCAAAAGTCTTGTTCGTACTTTTTGGCCAATTCTTGAAACGGCACATTCAAACTGGAACTGCGCGCAATGATTTTATCATCAATATCAGTTATGTTCATTGCTGTTATTAGATTTAAATGGAAATGATTACGTAAAATACGCTGAATAATGTCACATTTCATATAACAAACGGCATGGCCAATATGTGCATCATCGTAAACAGTCGGACCGCATGTATACCAAGTCACACACTTTGCATCACGAACTATAAATGGTACATCGTCTCGATGCACACAATTATAAATATTGATACCCGTATCAAAGCCATTCTCTGGCCTTTCCCATTCACTTTGGACAGTCGTGCAAAATCGACGAACGATTGCGACTTTATTGTTGCCATTTATTCTGCTTTTTATGTGGCTCAAACGTAAGAATCTCAAAAACGTCATTATTTTGTAAGGTTAACGCGAATTTTATGCTATACAATTTGTTTACAATCACTTTAAGCTGATTTGTATTATTGTTTTTTTACTATTCTACCGCTGTTTATCAATAACCTAAAACTAGTTTGAACGAATCAATCAAATTTGGACAAATCATATAAAACCTATTCAAAGGGTCAAATTCAAAAAAAAAAAAAAAAAAAAATCAGTTGAAAAGAACGATAATGAATTACCTAATGTATTTGCACGGAACTCATTTTGTCAGACATGTATTCTTTCTTAAGTTTAATTTTACACAGTCAGCAAAAAATAAAGAGTAAATAACGCTATTTAATATAAATATTTTTTCACACAAAAAGAAAAGAGTATTATGCGAACTGTCAACGAATAGGCCCATTTGGATAAACAACGATGATTTTACGTATTTTGTCCATTCAACAGTTGTTCATACGAAAAACGTTCGTTTCGTGACATTTAGAATGGCGCTTCAATCGCCGTTACCAATAGACAAAAAGACCTAAATTTTTAATATAAAATAAATGTTATGAGATTACTTACTCAACATCAGATTAGCTTCACTGATATTTGCCCCGAAAAAACTGTGAAACACCAATTGGATTGGAATTTAAACCAAAATTATGTTTGAGAAAATATAAATCGTTCCTCAAATGAATAGACACATCTTGAGTTTGTATGGAATAGCGCTGCTTCAATGATTTTACTACTTTCACTTTTTTTGTGGGTATAAATAAAAAGTTGGCTTTTAGATAGAAAGACTTTCATATCATTTTTTTTTTTAAATCAAATACTGATTTTACTATTTATGAACATTGGACAAGCATGATAAAGTAAAATGAAATACAATTTTATAATTAATTTCATTTAATTCACGGTATTATAAAATATCTTGTTTGACAATAAAGCTGCCTTAAACAGTATACAGTAAAAATAAAAATGAAATTGTCTGTATGGTTATGAAACCGCTTGGAGTTTGCATTAATTTCACAATTAATCAAAAATTGCATCTGTTGCACATCAATTGCACAATGTGAACGAAAACAATTAGATTTAAAATATAAAGACCAGTACACAAAAATGATTCGTCAACTCAAGTTGTTCTCATCTGTTTAAAGACAATCTTAAAATTAATGATTTATCATAAAATCACCTAACTATTAAAATAAATGTAATATATATATATATATCGGCTCTGCATTTTAATATATGGTAAATTTTTGTTCGTTATTTTATATAAAATTGTTGGCTTATTTTCAATTTTAATTGTCTATTGCAAATTCTTAAAAATTCCATGAGTTGTGGGCCATTTCATTTTGCATTTTTTAAAATATTTTTTTTTTTTCTTTTAAACCGAAAACCGAAAAAAACCATTTTTATTTCATTTTATTGGGAAATTTACATGAACAAATCATCTGTATTAAAAAAAAATTTCATCAGTTGGAAATGATGTTGTCAAATATCCTTCTTTTTTTTACCAGAAAAACGGTAATTTGGCTAGTTAAAATGATTTGCCCTCTCTCTAAAGCAGAGCGTAACAATTTATTTAGCTACATTCCTCAATATACATATTGCATGGTAGTTTTTATAAAACTGTGCCAAGTTTTTAATTTACAAACATTAGTCATTGTCAATCCCGAACATTTAACCGAAAACAAAAACAAAATCGTGAAAATAAATTGAATCTGAATACAAAAAATAAGAATATTTTAACAAATTATAGAAAATCTCTCAAAAACAAAAAAAAGCTATAATTATTAAATTGAAAAAAAAAAGAAAAAATATAAATCTCTGAAACAAATGATATCTAACGAGAAAAAAAGTACAAACATACAAATCCAAGAATTAAATATAAATGAGAGAGCACACAATGAATTAAATGCTTATGTTAAATCCAATATGCTCCATTTTAAGTGTCATTGTCATTGTCCAGTCACGAGGAAGGTGCAATTGGAAAATGAATCAGCTTTGGTTTGCCCATCGAGCCATTGTGATGATGCTTATTTATAATTTTCGAATACTTCGATCGTCTGCGGCACAGTTTAATTTTGACCTAAAAAAAGCAATACCAAATATATAAAAAAAAATTCAGTCATTATTATGGAACATTTTTTTTCTTTACGATGACTATATACAATTAAATGCAATCAAATAATTAAATGGGTGTTAAATAAATTTCAATAATGAACACTCGAGCAAATGTTGATGAAGAAAAGACAGATTTTCCATATTAACCAATTTTCTTATCACAGTACATTTAATGTTTATACACAAGATTTGGGTAAATTTTGGTAAAAGAAAGTTAGCCGCAATTAATTTTATCAATTGATGATCTTTCAAAATGTCACCTACATTTCATGTTCATCGACTACATGAAAGAATTCTGTTAATTATTAGTATGAATCGTGCAATAGTTGCTATTATTTTGTAAAGAGAAAGTGAAAGGAATTTGCATTAATCTATTTTTATTGCAAACGGTTAGTGCAATTCAGTTCCGTGTTTTTTTTTTTTATTGGCGTGGAACGTGGATGTTAATGGTTATTTTGAATTCAAATAAATAAATAAAATAAAACATGAGTCGAACGCAATAAGCGAAAGTAGAGAGAAAACCGTTTGATAAGCTTACCCCGAAAGAAAGAACTGTTTTATTTGGTTAAATTGGCTCTTGATTGTTGCATTTTTGTGACGAATGAAAAAAACGTTTATCTTAAAAAAATCAAAATATCGAATATTGGCTGCCACACGAAGAGCGAACGCGTACCCACGCAGTGGGAAATCGTTTGTTCCGATAGCGAAAAATGTTTTATAAAAAATCCCATTTGAATTAAATTCGTTTATTTTAATCGCTGTGAACTGGTTTGAAAATCGATGAAATTTACACTTATTTATGGTGTGTGTGTGAGCGAATAAAACATTTCGAAATTACAATTGTTTTGCATTTTGTATGTTGGTTATGTTTTGTGATTGATTTTTTTTAAATTATTGTTAATGTTCGTATCGTAGATGATTTCATTTTTAAATAAGTGTAAAAAAAGATATTGTTCTCTATCGTTGTTTGGCTATGATTTTTTTTTTGGTTCTTAATTTCGCTAAAAATTGTTGTTCGTATCGCTAGATTGCTCTAGTTCTCAGTCAGTGTGGGCAAAGTTGACCTTTAAAATATGTTATATTTAAATTTAAGAAAAAAGAAAGAAAAATTAGAATCAGATAAAATGCAATTGACAAAAAAAAATTGCATATGCAGAAAACATATTTTTCGTTTTAATCGAATAAAATCGGAGATTTTGTTTCGATCGGTGGAACCCAATATAATAATTTAAAAAAAAAATAGCCATAAGTACAATTTGAATTGAATGATGAAAAAAGCAAATGTTCTATATTGAATTTTTGTTATTTAAATGAAATGCATTTCAAAATTTGCTTACAGTTCCATGGACAAAACGGTTGGATTAGTGCAGGCTTGTGGAGTTCGGACGTGACATTGCTTATGACATTTCAATTGGCAGTCTCTGCATTCATAGCCTTGTTTACCAGGACGCCGCGGTATGGAACGATTACATACATCACATAGTAAGCCACTAAAGAAATTCACCAAAATCAATGTCAATGTCATTTGGTTTATTTATCAAAAATAAATGATTCGCTTACCCGCTCAAGTGTTTCGCTAAAAACGTGTGATCATTGTAAATGTGCAATTTTGTACCCTTGCGTCGCCATCTCGGTCTTTGTGCAATCGATAGCGGTACCAAAAAGTGCCTAAAATTTATGTGCATAATTCCAATGAATTTAACCGTCGGAAAGAAATGTTTCAAATGTACATTTACCTTTTAACACCGTTTTCTATCGTTTCAAGCACCAATGTTGACGCTTCGTGTACAAAAGTCCGTGCGCTGGCGCTAGAAAATCCTGAGATAGCAGAAGATTCTGAAAGTGAGGATCGACGTGATTGATCTAATGAAGGAGGCACTACTAATCGTGGACCTTTTGATTGGTTTCGATTTGTGTGTGTGTTTTTTTAAGATGATTTTGTTTATGTTCGTAGAGATAGGTATATTTAACATGATTTTTTTGTGTGTGTTTCAAATGTAACGTTTTACACAACAACGGAATACGAGTACGAAATTTTTCGAAAATTAAATCGGATAAAAAAGGAAAAAAGAAAAAAATGAAAGAAAAGGAAAAAATATATCGTTACAATCTACATACAAATGATGTACATACTTATTTAATTGAAAGCTAAAAGCAGCACGATAGAAAAGATTTTTCGAAATAATCGCATGCATTTGGGTAGGTGAGATTGCCAAATCCAAATGCATAACTTTATTTCGTATAGAGATAGAGAATTGAATTGAGTAAATTGGAAAATGAAATTAAAATTAATGCAAAGCATGAGTTAAAAATAACATAAAAAAACTAAAATAAAGATCAAACAAAAAATCATTAAAAAAATTACCGGTTGATGTGTTTGACGTAATACCACCACTATTAGCCAATGTATTTGAATCTACAATTCACAATAATGTTTTCGGTTACACATTTTAAAATGGTCAACAAGCAAATATTTAGCATATACTATATATTGTATGATATGTGCAATCCAATTTTTTAAGGACCAAAAAAAATGTGCCGAATCAGAAGCAGACTCTGAGAGAGAAAAAGAACTTGTGAACAATTCTTACCATTTGGATTATTTGCGTCGATGGGTACAGCTCCTTGGCGTTCCAATGATTTGGCACGACTCTTAGAACGACCTAGTCGTCTTTTAAGTGTACCAAAGAAATCGCGCTTCTTACGTGAACGGCCACGTTCGAGTCCATCATTTTCTGGATCTGTTGATTGGTTTGCATCGTTTGATTGATAGTTACCATTGCCATTTTGATAGCCAGTAAAATTGGAAATTGGCGACGATTGGGCAGTCGGCTCAGCCGGCTTTATTGATGATAAAGAAGAAAAAAAGGGAAAAGAAGAAGAAAGTATTCTCAATTAATATGAATTTGATTTATTAATTTTTTTTTCTTCATCGAAACGAGTTGAAATCGAATGTTTTTGATAATTAGTGGTTTTTGAAAAATCATGGCGGTAATAATTGTTAAACAATTTGGTTTTTATTTGAATTGTATTTTGATTAGAAGCGTAAAATGACAATTCAACGGCAAAACAAGATTTGAACGCCATTAATTTGGTTCATGTGAATGGAGAAAATGTGAAAAAATAAGAAGTAGGATTTTTATTCTAAATAATTTTTGTGGAGACCTACCGCATTAGCAGCATCAGTGTTTGAATTGTTAAAAAGGCGCTTATTATCACTATCATTGTTAACCACATCACCATTTGCATCGGTACGTTTGTCATTGATGTTTTCGGTTTTGTTTGTGGCATCATCATTTTTAGATGCTAATTCACTTTCTGTCTTGTTTGGGATGTGGTTATTGTTAATATTATTATTAATTAGATGATTTTTATAAATGTCGCCATTCTCTGGATCTTTGTCATCGATTGATAGAACAGCAGCCGTTGGTCCGACTTCTAAATCTGATGCGTCTGTTTTATCCGAACTCTGTGTCATATTTTTGCTGTCATCGAACGTACTCTCGCTAACATTTCCCGATGTATTTGCATCTCCATTGATGATTGATTCATTCATTGTTTCTTCTAATTGAATTTTTCCATCGCTGTTCAATTCCACCTGAGCTCCCAAAATGTTGTCATTTTGGTTTTGCATCGATTTGATTTAATTGGTATCAATTGTGTTAGTTCCAAAATTTATGTTAATTGTCGTATTGTATGTGTGAGGTTGGTTTCCGATTTGAGGTTAGCAATGCAAACAGTTAAGAAAAATGAAATAAAAATAAAAAAATCGCAATATGAAAATGTGTGTGTGTGTGTGTTTGTCGTCAATAAATACTGATATGATATTCGAAGCAAAAACAAATGTATTTTCACGCTATTGTATGTAAAATGGTTAGACGAAACTTTCACGTAAATCATAAATAAATCACTATTAGTTGAGTCATAAAACAATGATTGTGTTAATCGGTTTTCTAATTACCCGATAATAGTAGGGCCGTTCTTTGTCCTGCACAAAACATTCATACAAAACGTACGCATCAATGACAATGATATGGTGTAGGGAACGGATGTATGTGCGTGTGTGTTTTTTTATTTTGGAAACAAAAAAATGTACAAAATTTTACTATTTTACACCAATTTTCAGCCAATCAAAATTATTTTTTTTTTTGTAACTTTTTAATAAAATTGAGATATTATAAGGTACTTTGTTGAGTTCAATATTGTTGTTCACTATTTATTCGTAAAAAACGAGGTCAGAAACCACAATAACGGAATAGTTAATTTCACACTTTTTGATTTGAGAAATGTTTGATGTTCCTGAATTTTGTTTAGTTTTGTTTGAAGTTCACCGTAGAGGCATTGACAGTATTTAAGAATGGAAATTGAATAAACGCTGATCTTTTGTAGCAAACAAGATGTGATGGTTTAGTTTTGAAAAATATTCAGACTAATTAATTGTTTTGATGTTGAATCAGTAGCAGGTTTTAGCTTTTTTGATGATCTCTTCTTCTAACGCATGAAAATACCACGAATATTGGTCAATTTAATGATGTTAAGAATAATGGCATGGGTGCATATTTGTGTATTTTTTTGTTACCAATTGTGTGTCAGTTGTAATGAAAAAAGGGAGAAGACAACACAACACAGACGGAAGAGATAAAGAAACAATATTTATTTTAACAGCGCAGCTACATCCTAATTCATAATGTAATCTTCTACTAAATAGCATTTTATTTAAATACCAAATGAATAATATAATATTCATCATCGAGGAGAAAGGAGTTTGAAGGAAGCGGTATTCATTCACTTGGGATTTTTTCTTTTCATAAACTTTACGGAACATCTCTTTTTGGTTCATTTATATATTAAACAATAAGAAAATGATCTTAAATTAATGCTTACCCGTTGAACAGAATGAATAATGAGTGTGCTTTTTGAGGGATTGCCATTGTATGATAATGCGCCGCCTTCAAGTGCTTTAATAGCGGTATCAGCCAAATCGCCTCCGTTTTGAACACCTGCAATCAAAAAATGTCAAATTAATAGAAATAACATGATTTGAGTCAGTCTGTATGTGTTTACCATTTGGTTGTGTATTGCTAATTTTCAATGCTTCCTTCATTTTATATGGTCGTCGACCCACTGGTACTTCTGCGCCTTCGATAAATACAAACTCCACAGTAATTGCACCTTGAACATCATCATTTTCATATGGCCTTGGTTGTAGGGCTAGAATTTGTGATGATGACGGACCAACAGCTAATTCATCAACGCCAACCAAACCGAGACCAAGGAATTTCGATGGTTCATCACTGCCAGTCGGATTACGATCATATACTTCGAACAAAATCTCAGCCGATTGTGGTGATAATTCGCTAAATGTGACAAATAAATTAATTTATTTTGAATTGAATTACATTTTCAACCGATGATTCACCAATAATTTAGAACTTACAATAGAAAATGTTCATCCCAATATGGATTTGTGCCCTGACGGGCTCCAGTTTGATTCTTTTGTTGCGGTTCATCCATTTCAATGATAACAAACGGATCTTTTGCATGTACAAGTGCTTCACCTTTTACCACTTTTACCAATAAACGACGACCAGACGACACCCCTTGCAATGATGAAGATGAACTATTGTTTATCTTATCCAACTCATACTATTCAATAAAAACAAAGATGTTATGTTAATTAAAGGCATTTCTATTTTAAATGACTTTGGCTCTTACACTTAATTCTCGACCATTTTCATGGGCTCGTGGGCAGGCCGCGTAAATGGAAAAGTCAATGGGATAGACACAAAGACGGATTGCCGATGAAAGAATATCACTAAATTTTCATTAAAAATAAAAAAATAAATTAAATTTGATATCCAAACTCAGTTCTGTCCCTTTCTCTCTTTTACCTGACGCTTTCTTGAAGTTGTTTTTCATCCGAGTCAACGGTTTTAATAGCGCCAATGCTATTCATTGTAATACGGATCTATGAATTATTCGAAATAAAAAATTAACATTTACGCGTGGAAATTATTTAATTAGACACTTACATCCGGATAACCTTCAACCATCATTTCACCTTTAAGCGTGTTATAGCTCATTTTTATGGTTAAACGTGCACGCAATCGAGATACAGTAACTTTATAGTGAGATGTTTCCATTTTACCGGCTCTGAGATGATGCGTTTTAATTTGCAGTACCGGCGTTGAATCACTGTCTAATGTAATTGTCTGTGCAAATTTAATAAAATCGAAAACAAACATGAAAGAATATCGTTTTTCATAATCATCCAAAATCGTGTTTACCATATCACTTGGATCCAAATCGGTGCTGTTGCAAAAGATATTGGCCAAATTCGGTGATGGACTTTCCGGCAAAACACGCACAATTTCAATATCGACTCCATTCTAAATACGCAATGCGAATGAATAATCAAATATCAAGATTATTATTACATGTTTCACATTTCATGGATATATTGGTATAAATGTATCATTAATTTTCTCACAAGGTTAACATTTATTAAAAAAAAAAAGAAAAATTATATTATCGATTGAAACTGTAATCGATGCCAATATTATCGTAGAAAACTCGTTTGCGGCAATTCTTAAAACGACATCAAAAGGTTGCATTCAGATTCGAGACATTTGACGGGCTATTTATTTAAAAGCAACAAAACAAAACAAAAAAACCACTCGAAATATCATTTTTTTTTCGAGGTTACTATTTATGTTGGAGCGTGTGTGTGTATGTGTATTGTATAATGCATACTTTTCTTTTGTAATTTGAAACAATCTTAAAAAAACAGTTCGTTTAATAAACGAAGTTTATAGTGTGCCGCACAATTTGTACGGCAATCCGTTTGTTGTCAATTATAATTGGTTGATTAACGGATAAATAAAGTGATTTCAATTGTCATTCGAATTTGAGTTCATTAATAATGTTCGTGCTTGATAATAGTAATTGGTTTGACAAAAGAGAGCGAACAAAAAAAAAGAGTCACCGACAAAAATGAGACGATTATTTGAGGTTCAGATGTACAACGGGAGTCAATGTTCATTTGAGATTTTGCTTTTATGAATTGAAAGCCAAGCGATGACATCATAATCAATGGGGCGCCTATATCAATCAAATTCCTGCTATTATTTTTGATTTATATTCCGTGAAAGAAGACCATTGATGTCTCGTAAAATATTTCCGCTCTATAAATTCGATGACATTTCGCACTACATCTCGGTTATAATCACACAGTGGTTTAAGTAGACGATTGTTTACTTATCTTGTTGTATTTGACCTCATCGAAATCGAATTATGTCTTTTATTTTTGCTCTGATTATGCGCCTCAATTTGCTAAATAGAAATCACATAAGCGTTTATTTTTGGTTTTAAAGTAGAACGAAAACAAGGCGCATTTTTATGTATACATTAAAATATGAGATAAACGAACGAGTATACATTTGGCATTTTTTTCTTCTCCTTTCAAATGAACAATTAACGCAACAGATAATATTTAATGGTTCCGGGCATCTTGAGAAGACGTCTTACAATTCAAGATAAAAATGAAATAATAATCGACATTTTTGTTGTTTCTCAAGTTTATACGGACACTGGACAAATAATAATAATGACACAGATGATAAAAAGTTGCATTGGATTACATTCATTCAATCGCATGTCGTTACGTTATATCGGTAAACACGGCGAAACACCCGAAAGAAGATATAGCGAAAGAATCAAATCAAATGAGAAAGTGAAATTGTGCACTCTGTTATTACTTCTATACAGTGCACAATCTAGATACATATGCTTTGTGTATTGCATGTGCGACTGCAAAAGCACAGCGCTACCGTACTTTGTATTTTTTCTCCTCTCTCTCTCTCTCTATCTCGGTCGTCTTTGCCACATTGTATATTTTCTATGACCAATGCAGATAATTTTAAATATTTGCATGAAAACTTAAAAATAGTGTTCAGTCACTACTAGCGATGAATTGTCGGTGGCGGTTTCGTTTGGCTATTGTATTAGAGCGGTCAATAGGGTTAATGTCTGAATGAATAATTCACCATTTTATTGAATTATTTTACGGAGACTTTTAACATACAGTCCGAATTTAATTTGCACATTACGAAAATAGAAATAAACACGTCAATTCATAAAATAAGCAAACAAATCAAATCAATGCAATTGTATTAGCTAGACAGTTTTCAGTATAAACTTTGAATTATTTGAAAGCGGAAAACTTCAAATATCGGTGTCAATTACCGCAAGAAAGAAAAAAACACAACAACAACAACAACCGTACGAATCCACTTTGAATGAAAATGATAAAAGTTTTTAATATTCGAATCAAGTAACGTCGCAAAAGTATTTCCGTCCAATGATAAAGTTTGTTGGAATGTTGTGTAAACTCATCATCGAATGCGATTTTTTTTAATTATTTATTTATTATTTTTTTTTTTTATGGTTCTTTTTTTCGTTTACCAAAAAAAAAAACTTTTTTCATTGTGAATATTTTACAACATCAATCATGAATTCAATTACATATTGAATTCCTTCCAGAACGCACATATGAATATGCTATTTTTATGTCACATTTGATGGTTGTTCATTAGTCGTTTGTTTGTCTAATCATCGGAGTTTTTTTAGTCATATTTATCATTTAAAAGACTTTGATGAGGTCAAAATTGTGTCGTGGCACACTGAATAACAACTTAATGATCCTTAAATGAATATCATTTGCTTGCAATGACAACGCAATCGAATTGAATGCTTGACATCATCTTATGAAATTTCATGACATTGCCGGTTTGACTATATATATATCGATTCTATAAATGGCATAAAAGAAATGCCTGGTCTTTGTATTGGACAATGAGTTATTTGAAATTTTAAGACTTTTTTTTAACAAATCGCTCGTCCGTCTTTTACAAAAGTATACAATTTGTTTTTTTTTACAATTTTCATGTATGCAGAATAATGAATTGAGGAGAGCAACAACAACAAAAAACTGCTTAAAATCATTGCATGAAAAAAGACTTCTGCTCCAATGATTTTTATTTTTCGATTTCACTAATTTTGGCTTTTGATTTCTTTTACTCGATGGTAAAAGAGCAAAGTGCGTAAAATAATTTTGTCGATTACATGCGACTTATGCAAGAGTTTTTTTTTTAATTTAACAGTTAAATGGAGGAAATGCAAATAAATTACAGTTTGGATAAACTGCTATAATTATAGACATATTGGTGTTACTTTTTATGAACGATCACTTATTTCTTCTTCTTCTTCTTCTGACACGAAATAATTATGTCTATGGGTGGAATTTGAGTTGAATGACACCGAAAAAGGCTTCAAATGATTTTTTTTTCTAAACTGACATGTCGAATAATGCAAAAGCACCTAGAGTAGTAAACAAATTATTTTAAAAGCAAAACACTGTCATAGACGAAATGTAAACACCTGATTAAAAGCTAGACAAGTTGCCTATATTTGTTTCATCCAATGTGTATGTTTAATTCATTATTTACTCAACCGCATTCCAAATCTGCGGTGGCATATATGAGCATGCATCGTACGCTCATTCGCATTGCGCGCAAACAATTTCTTTAACAAAGACTATAAACAATTTCATAATGAATGTCCATTGCACACTTTGTTCATTCATATTATGGAAAATGGCTTTGAATTGAAATGTATATTGATACAAATTGATAATATTGGTGCACCATATGTAAATACTTACCTCGTCCACATTTTTCTTCATGTGTTCGTTGAGTGCTTGAACCCATGATTGCAATAAATCATTAACGATCACCAAATCACTATACAGCCAACGGAATATTTGACTTGTCCATGTTACCGAAGACTGAAATTAAAGAAAGAAATTGATTGATTGAATGCATATGACGCCATTCGATTTGTTTGCCATCAAATTAAATTTGTTTTATGTAAATAAATTGGTGTAAAAAAGCGAGACTAACCGTTTCTGGGCCGGTTACATTGGTTGGAGGTGGAATTGAACGTAATGTTTTCCGAAGTTCTGGTCCGGGACTTTTACGCGATAAACGTTTACGGATTTGCGATGATGTGCCGCCAACTTTACTTAATGGTTTTGATGCCAAATCCAATCCCTTTTGTTGCACAAAGAAAAAAACAACAATATTTAAACAAACATTAGATCATATATGTTCACATCATCAGCATGTAATGGTGTGTACCTTAATATCTTTGCTGGCAGACAATTCTTTCGATTCCGAACGACGAATCTTTTCACTTGGGCTCACACCATATTTGCTGGAATCAATAGCCGTGGTTCCATCTTTTTTCACATATTTATTGTATAAAAATTTGCACAGCCACAATAAAAATAGAGCCAATAGGGCCCATCCAAATATAAACATTGCTAATGTGTCCATTGTTAAATCACCAACACCATCAAATGTGCATATATAATCGTCAATTTGATCGGCCAGATCGCTCATTATTCATCGATTGAAATGTGTATGTACACATTCTTCATATCGCTTCGATGCAACAAATGTTCAATTCACTTTTCGTTCATATTTCGAATATTATTATTATTTTTTAGTTTCAATTAATTTATTTCCCGTTCGATTGATTGCACAAAATAGTCTCTAGCTCAACTAGTATTCACTCGAACATCGATCAATATTTGTGTGTGTTGGGAAATTTTCATAAATCACGGCACTGTTATTTACAAAATACTACAACGATCACTGGACTCAGGTGAAAATTGTCGATAATTATTGTTGGTCGGTTTCGTTCGTCGGTTCGTATTTGTTTGGTATTTTTGTCGTTGTCGTTGTCGTCGTTGCACTGTCTATTTTCTATGATTTCATTTCCGATTCATTGCAAAAACATTTTATTCATGATGTTGATCGTCTGAACTGTTGGAAAGAGAAAGAAATAATAACAGAAAACACACCATTAGCAATGTATTTAAACCAAAAAAAAAATCATTATTAATATTGGTATTAACAAGTACTCTTGAAAGACGTAAAAACGCCGGCTAATTCAATTTTATTTTACAATTTATTCAGACCAATCATTTTTCAACATCGTTTGAGAGATGAAAATTACAATCGGTTTGTACGCCTGAATGAATCGAAATGTTTGAACTAAATTAGAAAACATATGTTCACACAACCAATTCATATAACTCAATCGAATTCAATCTTTAAATGAGTAAATAATTCATTAAACACTCTTCGAATAATTCGATTTCGATTTGCGTTAGAGTTTTCATTTTAGCCTAATTATTATTTGTTTGGGTTAAGTACTGTCAATAAGATAATTTATTTCATACTGCCGAAGATAGTTCAATGAGTATTTTGGATTGCGCAACTTTTCAATGAATATAGACACGATAAGATAAGTATAGTAAATCGGAACATATTCTAAAATCAAGATTGTTTACACACTTGTGCGTATTTCAATTTTAAAAATAAAATCAAACCAACGCATTCAGTCAATATCGTTAATTCTACAAACTCAATACCGTATCGTGAATTCTTTTATCGGTAAGTATGACTGGAACGTACTTTTAAATTGGTTCATGAAAAATCTGCTCATTTTTAACACCGAAATAATCGAAAGTTTTGCAGACAAACAAACAAAATTTGGCTTTAAAAATGATAATCAGATTTGAATGGTTTGTAATCGAGAACATTATCAGCACAAATATATAAATGTCTATTTACTCTAAGATTCGGTTTCTGAACGTTTGCATTACTTTGTGTGTAACATTTTTCTCGGTACTTTGATTTCGTAAGAAAATTCCAAAGTAGATACTTTTTTTTATACAAATTACTCTACAAGGATTACTTTATGCTCTCTCCTAATTTATATTTACATGTCGCAAAATTCGTGTTTCATGATTCAAAAGGGAAAAAATACAATTGACACTGTGTTGATTAGCGGAAGAGACATCTTATCAAAACAGATTTCTCTCTCTCTTTTCATCTAATTTAAAATCAGTTCAGTTTTAGCTTCCGCATCAAAATCAAATGGTTAAAAAAAACATGTTGACGAGTTGTTGTAGAATAGAACTTGTTATTAATTTTCATTTACATGTATCTTTCTACATAATAAAATCAAAGCGCGTTCACTGTTTTGGATTAAAATGCAGCCTTGAATGGATTGAAAGGGATGAAGACTACGCTTGTTTCTTGTTTGACTTTGTTTGATCACAAATCAAGTATAATTACGTGAGATCTTGGCAACTCTCAAAAGAATCAATAGGAGTGATGTGTAATTGATGAGAGCCACCTCTTATTATGTGATATTCAATGTGATATAATTGATAATTATGCATGTAAAGTGCATCACTTAACCAACTCAGACGAAATGAATGCAGCCACAATCTTCTTCAGTCTGTTGTTGTGGTTTCTTTTTCTATTTTCATTTTAATGATAATTTGTGTGTGTGTGCTCAGTTGGCGTGACGCATTGAATCAACAAACGAAACTTGTAAGTCAACGTATTAAATCGCAATCACATACAGAACACATTAAGTTGTGTGCATTTTTTATATTTTATGCGATGGGCTTAATGATGGAAAATTCAAACAAAATACACAATTTGAAATCATTGCCAATAAAAAAATTCAAAACTGTATTTTCCGGAGAATAAGCGTTGGAAAGAAAAAGCGACTGAATTAAATTGACCTAGGCTTGTCGGATTTTGTTCCTTTTTGAGATTTTTGCAACTTTGAAATTCCAATGTTATTGACATTTTTGTGTCGTTTTACTTCAAAAACTCAATGGATACATCTGTATCACACTACTGAGACACACATTATCTGCAAATAGTTTTATAAGTTTATTTCCAGTCGGGGTCATAAACTATAATTTGAAGAAAATGTATGTCTCTGCAGTGGAACTGCATCCATAATTTGAGTTTTTGAGTGAAAATCCAGAAAATTTTCAAATTATGGCTTGAAAAAAAAAATCTCAAAATTGAAAAAAATCCGACAAGCCTAAATTGAGCTAATGCTCATTTTTTATTACATTTTCACTGTATATTTGAAAAATAAACGTTTGTATTAATAAAAATCGATCATTAACATTTCCAGAGCGTATGGTTTGGCATTCGGTGAATGAGGAACACATTTTTGGGTGGAAATATTGTAAACTCCCGTACTGAAGGTCTATTACGTGTATTTATGACTAAATGAGTGTAAATGGTTGAGCGCTTTGTTTTACTATTCCATCAAAAACTGAATGCACCACTTGTTTCGTGATACAAATTACTCAATACGCATGCACATGCACACCGCTTGTCGTACATTGTCTGCAGATGAATTTTTTAAATACAATCTGAGCTAATTAGTTAAGCGCTTTATGAAAAGTTGTTCATTTGTCGTTCTTGCTCTGCCATGTCTTAATATAACGGAAAAGCATTTTGAATAAAAAATTAAGTCAAACAATTGTTACAATCTTAAGAACACGAACTTTTTTCATCACAAATTAGTGTCGCGACTTTCTCCTTTCTTTTTCGCTATTTTAATATGAAACAAAACAGAGATTCGGTGTCTCATTGAAAAAGAAATGAATGAAGCTATAAAACTCAAACAAGTATGGCTGACAGCATAAAATATGCAAACCAAATTATTACTTTTATCTTATATTGTATGTGGTGGTTTATCAGCATGAACTTGGGCATTAATATGTAAATGCTTAAATGTTAACAATGAGAATCGCGGTTTTTTTTGTTTCTCTTCGCCGAAATTTCGTAATACATCATGGCGGAAAAAAATACGATGAACACTAGGAAAACGTATAAATGCCTTTTTTGTCATTGTTCAGTATTCTTTCCGCTTTTTTTTCGTATTCCATTTCGAACATAAATTCGTAAATTTTACAAATTTGTTGTATTCAGTGTGTATGTGTGTGCTTTATTAATTAAGTGAGTGTATGACCTCATACAATCAAAACGATTTAACCAAACGAAGGTGAAATAGCGCAGATCTATAGAGGTGACTTAATGTGTATTCTAGTCTTTGCCAGCTGTGTTGAATGTCATCAACAGAGTCGGCGGTTTAACTATTGTTGTTCAAATGTCCACTCTGTTGAAGAAAAAAAAAATACGCTGAATGCATCATTTCCAAATATTTTCTCGTCATAAAGTAGCATTTTTTGGGGGTCCGAATCGGCTGTATATCAATCTGAGTATCTTGAATGAACAAAAAATATTGTCTGAAGTTTAAAATCGCAACGATTCAGTCGTCTAGTCTGTGTTACGTGCGATACATGGACTATTATATATATCGTATAAACATATTCATACGTGAATTTTTCTGCTAAAAATAAATGCACATTTTAAATTTTATTCAACCATGAGCCGCTGCCCAGCTCCCGTATTTTTCGATAAAAGAAAAATAAAAGTGAAGAAAAAATGACTCTAGCAAAACACCAAAACATTCAAAACGACAAAAAAATAATAATAATACTGTTTCTGTGTTAATTTGTTTGAAAAAGAAACCTGATTGCATGTATGCAAATGAATTACGCACGCGCATCTTGCGCCTTTGAGTATTTCTCTTTTTTGTTTTTGTTTTATTTCATTCAACTTTTTTCTGTTGTTTTTACATCTTAGTTGAATTGAGAGAGATAGAGAGATTTAAACAAATCAAGGATTTTAGATGAAATGGTGAAAGAGTTGATTGAGCTCATTGTCAGGCGCATTACCTCTTTCTCATTATCGTTACGAAAATTATATTCTATGCACAATCACCACGACCACAGTGTATATGGTCCAATCAATTTATGTGTATAAAGTATATGCATTGTGTGATTCTCAACGATGCCGTGCCTTGTAATTATAGAGTCGTTTCTTTGTAAAATTGCTCACTTTTCATTTTCTTAGAATTTCGTTTGAACAAAAAACTACGGTGTATGACTTTTTTCATATATCTTTGTCTCTCGGCCGCACATTCTCTCACTCTTTCTGTTGCAGTCTATTAATTTAAATATATGTGTAAAGTAAATTGTTATCACATTGATCGCTCAGTCGATATAGAAGTTAGTCAACATAAAAATGATATTTTACACACGAAACGCGAACATACTAATACACAGTCAAAAATGCTGCACAAACAAAAAAAAAACACAAATTTCACTGACACGACAACCACAGAATTAGGTCATCATTATACTTTTCTATTTTTCCGTTTTTCATTTCTATTTTATTCACGTTTTTGCCGAGTATTTTTGCCAATCCAAAAGAAATATTTAAAATGGAAGATGAATATAGCAAACGAATGAATGGCAGATAGAGAGAGAGAGAGAGGGAGAGGGAGAGAGAAGAGAATTAGGGAAAGGAAGGGAACTCAAATACATTTACACGAAATACCATTTATCACATGTGGATGAATTTTGAATGGTTTAGTGCCGCTTGGAATTCAAAATGCTTGGCTTTTGTTTCGACCGGCTTTTGTGATTTCATCTCTTGGTTGATATTTGTGTGCAAATTGACACTTTTGTGTGGGTACAAATTTTCAAACTGACGATGATCACTGTGTGATGAACGTTACGATGCAAAGGATTTAAATCAGACAATATATTGAACTAACTGGTCAGTTGAGCTGAAAGTACGTTAGCTAGCTAAATGGACTAAAACAATAGAAGTTATTGTTATAATGAACAATCACTTCTATTAAAACAAGAAAAGTGATTTATCATTAAAACAATAACGTCTATTGTTTTAGTCCATTTAGCTGGTTAACGTACTGTCAGCTCAACTGACCAGTTAATTCAATATATTGTCTGATTTAAATAATACTAAAAGTATAAACTGAATTGTTTACGGCAACAGTAAAAAAAAACAATACATTCCTGTCGATTGTCAAGAATAAGTCATTTTTAGTGTAAACAAGTTACGCTTTCAACTAAATTAAATAGCTCTATTTTATCGTCGTCGTATCTTCGTTACTGAATAAAGGAAAAACGACCAGAAATTAATTTGCATAAAAAAAATCAACAAACGAACAAAAAGGTCGTAAAGAAATGAGATGTATAAAGGTAAAAAGATAAAAAAAGGATAGGCTCTATAAGTCATTGAATCACAGCAAACAGTTTCAGCATAGCAACGGCGTGATGTTGTCACCGATGGATTTGTTGTTTTCTATGTGTGTGTGTGTGTGTGTCTGTCTCTGTATTTTTTACACATTTTTGCACCGGTCCAAATTTGAATGTATTTGCGTTCTATGTGACCTTATCACGCAATGAATGTCTCAATTTATCCGACGAATGCTTTTGGAAAATTCCGGATGAACGGAAAAACCAATAAAAAATGTGGTTCATGCTGTTGCCTAGAAGATTTGTTTCTTTTATTTTCTGATTTCATTAAGTATTAGCTTTTGTAAAGCGTTTATCTGTTCAACGCAATATACATTCAATCACACCGGTTAACAGGTGCTAAATTGTGGTAATATGAGGAGTTTGTGCTATTTCACACAGTCTGTCTGCAGAATACAATAGCAATTCAATTTTCTATACAATAGCAACAGTCGTGAACACCACGAACAACTTCATATAGCATAGATATGTGGCAATGCACGCAAACCAATTAGAAATCGATTCAATTTCTATTTTAAATTCGTTCGGTGTGGCATTCATTTTCAAATTGATTTCGGAATTTTATTATCTTGCTTATATTTTATGAAAATTCCATCTGCACTCCATCATTCATGGTATGATGTTATCTCGTTTTGATTAACAAACCGCAAAAAAACCAATTGTTTATTTCAGATTTTCTTAAAAAACTGTTTACAGAAGTGTTTATTGTTCATTTTTCGAAGTGTTACAAATTCAACCGAATGAGTTGTGCGCCAACCGCTTAACAAAAAACACCAAATAAAGATGGGGGGAAAGGCTCAATTGACTAAGTTTGACTAAAATTGATAGTCAATTATCAGCAAAGTGTTACATTTGCCACACAATGCTTTTGACTTCGATTGCTCAAGTGTGAATGTTCTTTCCAGAATTCTAGATTTCGTCTTATTACGCGGCATTTATAAACAGTTTCTTTTTTCTGTGCCCATAGCATTTTGAAGTGGAGATGCTTTGCCGAGGAAAAATTGATAGAACAAACGCCATATGCGTTTACCAACCGGCTAAGCCTATGAAGAGACAAAATGCGAATTCCCCTCATCTGTGCCATCTTGTATTCCATAGTTGAACTCAATTTAGTTACAATGAATTGAATCGAAAAAGAGAAAAAAAACAACAACAGTAACATGGCTACATAGATCTGTTGACCAGTGAGATACGTATAGCAATGGAATGAAAGAATGAAGAAAGCGTATATGTGTATGTATGCATCAGCACGCATAGATGTACAGCTCTGTGTGGCCGTGCTATTGTTGTTGTTTTTTCACTTTTTCATTTCAATGCTACAGAATTAAATTCAGTTTTTGCATCTAATTCACACTAAAATCAGATGGCGCTCATTAGCGAGATTCGCAAAAAAAAGTCTCCAATCTCATACAAATATACACCGGCTGGCGTTTACTATTGGTTTCATTTTCCATTTATTTAATTTAAACAATTGAATGCTCATGTTTCAGGCCACAGAGCCATGCATCGTGATACGCTGAGAAGTTTTAAATTACCGATCACATCTTAATGGGCTATGTGAGTGAGCATCTCCGCTCGAATTCTCATCTGTGAAAACAAATGGATTTTGATAGCCTTGAAGAGAAACAAAAAAAAAATATATGTCTAGTTTGAGAGAGTGTTTTTCTTGTTGTTGTTTCTCCCATCTTGTTTTGTTCATCGAAATCGGGGCGAAGGAAAAAATATACAATCTTTGTAGCTTGAACGAAAATTTGCACTTGAACTTGAAATCAAATCATATTTTGACTTTGATTATTTATGAATGACGAAATTTGATTTCGTGTATGTATATCGTTATTTTTTTTTCAGTTGGGTTTTCATTTAAATATTATTCAGTTCATTTGTGCATATTATTTTTTTTTATTCGAAGTGAAAATAACTCTTTTTTTGCTGAGTGATACACACATTTCATTGAATATGAAATCATAAATGGTTATGCCATTTATTCACTCAGTTAGTAATTAGTTTTCGATGTACCGGCTTCCATTCAAATGATTCTTTATGTAAAATAAAATGGAACCACATGATTGTGAATTCGCATAGAAAATGAATGCGATTACATTGCAATTGAAAAATGTCTTTCAAATTTTTTTGCTCATAATATCGTTAGCAAAATAATTCACAAAGTTTTTGAACTGATAAGAAAAGTTCTTGCACAAACTTCGATTAGTTTTCGCCCTTCAAAATGGATATTTTAAGCATCATGCCACAACTAAAATGGGATTGAATTATTATCTGTGTATGTGTGTATGTTGAAGTGACAACAATATCAAGTGCAAAACGAACGAAAATCGAGTGGCGTTGCTGGTGATAAAAGAAAATTGGTGGTGTGCTAGCTATAAAGTGGATGTAATACCATGACGCGGTATTGGATATACGGCAACATGTGTAAACATCGATTTTCTTGCACGCACACCACCCAACCACAGCTCATGTACACAACAGACTCACGCAGAAAATTGTAGACATACGCATACGGGTGAATTTTCAATTTAGCAATAGAATCGATATGCATGTATACGAATGAATAAAAAAAAAAGAACGAAAGAGAAGTAAGAAAGAAAAAAATGGCACAACGCCGAGAAGAAATAAAGCGAGAAAGTAGTAAGAAATTGAGCATGTGTGCGCATTTAATCAATATTTGAGCTATGACTATGTGTTCCCTTGTTGCCCCATTCGCCGAAGTTTTTTCTTTTATATATATATTTTCGCTGCACCAAGTGATTTGACTATGTTTTAACAAATGACGACCATCCACGACGTTCTCTTTGAAATGCATGTCTGCAGCATTGAAATTTTTATCATATATGCATGAATTTGGGAAATATTCATATCTAAATATGCATTTTGTATCACACACACATAAACGATGACGACGTGTGTGTACGTGTGCGATTGCCATTCGAAAATGTTTTCACATAATTATGCGGCAAATAGACTTGGTTGGATACAGACCGAGGAGGTTTGACTGCACACATTCATTATACATACCACGCTATCTTCACAGGTATTATTCACAAATTGTACAAAAATTCATACGACTGCATTTATTAAAATGGCATTAAATCAGTGATATGTATACATTGTGAGTGCATGCATTGTGAAATGAGTATGTTGTCTTCTGTTCCCTTGGATTTTTCTTTTATTTTGTTTTGTTTTATTCAGAGACCGAAGTCTCTCCGAGTCTTAAATCATTGTTGCACACACCGATCTATTTCGAGACGATGTTGTTGTTATTGTTGCTGTTTGTTTGTTCACACTGCTTAAAATTGATGGCACGGAAAGACAAGGAAAGATTGTGAAATGTTTACGCATCGCACATTAGTTTAGTACCACAATTTTCAAAGCATTTGAATCACACTACATCATACATTTATTGTTTGCCGAGAATAGTTTTCTTTTTTTTTCTTTTCGCTTTTTGTTGTTGTTCAAAAGTATTCTTAAAATAAATAAGAAAATCGAAAAATCTGTTTCGAATTTATGTTGAGGGGAGAGAGACCGAATAAATGCTTTGTATTGGAGCTGAAGAGCTGTAATTTATGTAAGAACAGTTGCATGCATATGGTTGGCAGATTATTCGTTTCCTGGACGATTGTTCTATTCGGTTCACCCGCGCTACCGCTCTCAATAAATGTCACGTTCAAAATATGCCCGAAACCGATGCACGCTCTTTTTGTGTGTGTATGAACAGTGCCATGCACCAAAATACACAAATCCAAATTGAAATCTGGCTAATGAACAATTACAAATCTAGGTAGTATTAATGGATAATGAGTCGTCATGCCAATGAATTGGGGGGCCACGGTATACAAGTGTACAGAGATTTAAACATTGGACACCACATACTGTCATACAAAATTGTACATTTGACTTTTAAACGAAGATTTCTATTCGCTGGATTTGTACGCACTTTAATTCATCTTAAAATCTTCGTTGCAAAGCTGGTGAAATTTATATCATTTTCGTATATTTATATTCGCACTTTTTGTGTTTCTTGAATGTTGCATGTAGATTGTAGAACGAAATTTGGTTTGCAGCTTTTTTTTTTTGTCACTTTCAACTTTCTCACACCGAAATTTGATTAGGATTTATCGATAAGAAGGCCCAATTCGTAAATATGAATAACGATATTGAAACGAGAAGAGCAAAAGCATTTATTGGCAGAATGTAAGAGAGTCTGGTCTGAATATCGGCCACAAAACTGATGGCAAATATAGCACCAGAATGCACATCGAAATATAATATATAGAAACACGTTACGGTGTGTCGAATGGCAAGGCAAAGTAAAAAAGCACAACATTGGCTCGCATTCGTTTTGGTTAAGTATCAAAAACTAAAAATAATTCGTATACAATCTAGGATTGACGCTTCCGTCTTCGACAACGTCTTCTTAGCAAAATAAAAATGAAATTCGTACGATTTTTGATAGATTATTAATAATTTTTGCTCATTTTGAAACAAAACAATTGAACATTTTTTTTTTAATTTTGGAATGACAAATATTTATGAGATACACACCAAGAAATTTGTTGTTTTGTTTTTTGAATCGTTGTTCAATAGCTCAAGTACAAAATAAATTGGTAAACTCTGCTGAAAGTCTTTTCACTACAAATTCACTTTATAGCACGAACAAAAAATATATACAAGCAAACAACATGTGATCGCGAGTAAATGTAAATCGAAACTGAAGCGATGACATGCACAAGCAAAACAGTTGCGAACTAAACGATACCGCTGCTTGGATTTTTGTTTGTTGTTGTTGCTGTTGCTGTTGTCATCGTCGTGGTTTCCATTGTGTATACCCATACACAACTACACGACCCGTTGACTATCACAAATTCGAATAATTGCTCGCATACAACGAACGAGAAAGTATACTTGGCACCGCGTATCAACCATTATTAGTTTGAGCGAGACAAAGCAACCGACTGATGATGAGATAATGAAAATAATAGCAAAATATATACGACTGTATTTGTAAAATTGTGCGTTCATATGGTTATACCATCGATTCGTGGTATATTCGTACACGTCCATTGGGTGCACATGGAGAGATATTTGAAGTTGTAAACATTCAAATTTTAACGCACAGTGCACACACATAGAGAATAGCCAATTTTCAACACATACACTCGCCCGGTTTGCGCGTAGAACCGTGAATAGAAAAAAGCACAATATTTCATAATTGTAGTCGATGCGTTCATACATTTGACTTATTCACATTGGAACTCTGCGCACTAGCACAAAATTGTATGGTCGACGCGTGAAAATGACATTTGATTTGAGCATATATTTGTGGTGGTACGAGCATGCGTACAATATCGCATAGTCTGTTTACTTTTGAATAAATTTAATAGCCCCAAAAAATTTTTTATATCTGCGAATAAAATATTTAAATAGCAGAGCATTTTATATGATGCAGTTATTCGTAGTGTCGTTTGTGATTCATTTTAACAAAAGAAGCGATGTGTGAAGGAAACACATGTACCAATTCAATGTTTACTGGCTTTTTAAGACCCGCAATTTATTCTACTTCATTTTGATTTCGGCATGATAAAGAACTTGAAATGAATTCGTTGATTCACATATGTTGGCCACTTTTCAGATAGCATTTGTCCTCTCTCCACTCCCATTCATATCAAATTTACATTAATTCCATTTTGAATTCTTATGCCCAATATACAAAAAATCGATACTCAAGCGATTCAAAGCACATTATATTGATCGTGGACGATTGCAAATCATTTATTCGGTTTTGTACAAGTTTATTTATGAGTTACAATGATAAAAGAATGAAACATAAAATAGAATAAAAGATTAATTAATCGTACATTCAATTACAAACAAGCGCCCCCGTCTTTATTTACTCCATTGAACTGCTCAATTCTAATACGGCACAACTCAATGTATGTTTAATGCATGACTTTTATCTCCAAGAGAGACAGAGTTAGAAACGCCTTAAACTATATTAATTAAGCATTTGATAAAAAAAGACCATATGTTTTTATTCACATCACATTTCACATAAAATCACAAAGAATGCAGCAAAAGAACTAAACATCTAGCCAAAAAGAATCTTACATTCTTGACCAATTTAAAATTCTCGACCTCAAACAATTAAAAAAATATTTACCACGGTAAACTTACTTACAAGACTTACAACTCGTAAGTGGTGAAAAATAAGTCATTTTTTTTTCATTGAAGAATTATTTCTTATAACAGCACATCATAAGTTCATGGCCTTTGAAATGAAATCGTTGTTGAAAAGAAAAAAACGCATACCAAATTATGCATTTGGCAGACAGCAAAAAAAGAAACGGAGACAGTTATTGGAAATTCGTGAGAAAAATGCAAACTCTCTTTAGAACACATGTTTTCTATTCATGTTGGAAGTTTCTTTTTGCAATGACGACAATCAATGTACGCATTTTAACTCATAAGTTCATAATGAGATGTATGCAACATGTTTTAACGGATACTGAGAAAAAAGCTACCATTGCAAGCATATTATTATTAACTTGGAACTTCTTGTTGAAAATTGAAAAAAAAAATTGTAAAATTGTTTTTTTTTTTTTCAAAGAAAAAATATAAAGGTTTTTTTTTTTGTAATTCATTGTCATCTTCCTATTGAGATTTTACCTCAAGTTTTATTTTTTAGTTATGTTATTTTCATCAAAACTTTTCTTTTTTTGTAATTTGTAAATCATTTTTTTAGTTTGGAAAGAAAGGTGATTGTTATTTTAATTTGTTAATACTATGCGGTTTCTTGTGGTATTGATACAGTGATATGCGGCAATAAATTGTCATAGGCTCAAAAGGCTTTATGTCATTGGTAAGCTGTTTATTGGGTATCTGTCAGATGACAGATGTTATTTTGTTTTGAAAATAGCTGTGGTTACGTCGTTTAATTTATATTTTTCATTAAAAAATTGTGAATCAATGTTTTAAATGAATAGCGAGAAATTATCGATTGATTTGTGGTGTGACAACAAACACTGTGCACAAAATTTTGAATGCATGTGATGATTTTTTTTTGGAAAAAGGTCATCGAGAGATTGAATTCAAAATGAATGCAAAACAACGAAATCGTACGATATAATCAAGAAGTTGAAAACAATAAAAAAAAACAAGATGTTAGTTAGCGATTTACGAAAATACAAAACAATCGGCCTAAGTGCTGGCATATCAACGGCTGTGTAAGTGTTAAATGCGAAATTTCAATTCATTTTTTTGGTTATTTGTCTACCTTAATGAGACGACATCGTACGAGATGATTAAAGACAGAGATAGATGTCTCACAATAACAACCAGTTGATTCATTTGCACTAATGTGTTTCAATTCAATCTAAACTATTTGCGTTTGTGTGATGCTGAAATCACTATCTAACTATTTATTTGGAGTCTTAACATGAATTTTTGTTTTCAATTTTAAATGCGAATATTATATGAATATGAATTAAATTTGTTTTTCTCATCAGGGCCGGACTTATTTATTATGAATACTCTCGCATACAGCAGCGACTAAATATGCTTATAAGTCCATTTGTTTTAAATATTGAAACAAAACATCCTGACTACATTTACATCAAATATCATATCTACAAAGAGTCGATGGAGCAGAAAAAGAATGCGGAATTGCAGAATAAAGTAAAAAAAAAAAAACTAATTTTCTTCTGATATGGCAGATGTCTAAAGTGTGCAAAATGTATTTCAGAAATGGATAAATGTGATTGTTCATCCGATTGGAAATTGGTGGAAGTCGGTTAAGCATTCAATTGCATGGCGTTTATTAGAGGTGGCCAAAAACGGAGACTATCATGATCGTTTGAAAGCAGTACGTCAATTGTCACGAATCGATCACTTAAAAGGTTTTTCGATCAAAATTTCTTTTATTTTTCCACTTATCATCGAATTCAAACCAATTTGTTATGTTTTAATCACAGACTGGGACTATCAACATTTAGCACAAATGTGTAATGGACGTACGGCTATTTCACTTGCACGTCATTTTTCTGACACAAGATGGTTTCTTCCGCCGCCAAATTTTGGAGCATTACGCCAACCAAAGTCGCTGATATCCGATATTCATGATCATCTGAAGCAGCTACAACCGAATCAGTGTTTGAACAATTTCAATTCTCGGGTGTTCAACAATTTTAGCATTTTGAATGGTTACATTTATTCAAAATCAACAACAAATGGCGTTGCAGTTACACGTCAAGAATATGATTTTTTGCGAAAATGTCTCGAAGCATTGTATCATCTGACACAAGACGCAAAAGTGGCTGAAACGCTTTTAAAACAAGGATTTCTACAAACGTTGATGGAAGTTTTGAAATTATTTCATGCTGACATTAATTTACGATTTTTATTGGCGAAAATTGTAGCCAATTTTACTGTGTGTCATGAATACTATGATGATTTTTTTGGTGTTGGATGGGTTGGTGTATTGTCACGGTGGACTCGTAATCCAGATATTCGAATTCAAGCGACTGCCGCCAAGGCTCTAGCCAATTTAGATATCGATGACATTTCACCAAGTGAATATCGGGCGAAAATCTATCCATTATACCCATTGATTCGTTCACGACAAAAAGCACAACTCGATATAATTTTCATTCATGGACTTTTAGGTGAGATTCATCTCGATGTTCGCTTCAGCCTCATATTCATATCAAGTGATATTTTGTTGTTTTCAATGTTAGGCGGTGTATTTATAACTTGGCGCCAAAAGGATCCAAAGGAACCGGACCTAGGATTGTATGGTAAGAATGTACAAGTGCATAGCAAACCTATTATTGATTCGAACGAATTTTATCATGTGGACATTCGTGATGTCATGAAAAATGAGACAAACCAAGCGCACATTGTTGCTAAGACTAAATTCAAGCGCCCGAATATTGCTCATAATAAAACTGTTCTAAACTCTACATGGAAACAAGAATTAAGTAAGTTTTCAACCATTCGAACAGTGTCTTGAGTGTTTGTTCGTCGTGACTATTGTATTAGATTATAATCTAACTCACACATAATTTTGAGATTTTTCGTAAATTTTAAAAATTAATCGCTAACTATAGCTTCTAGACAAGAATACTTGAAACATTTTACTAACCGCTATAGCTTGGTTTTTTTCATTTCGATGTTAATATTAACTCTCAACTGCAATGAAATTACCAATAAATAAAACAATAAAATTCAATGTTTACAAGCTAAACTAATATGTTTAGTTCGGGCAAGTATGCTTATATCAGAGCTATTATGGGAACGGGAGAAGTGCGGGTATATTCTATATATTTTCAAAGTGCTACACCTCCGCGGTGTCTATGATAGCTCTGCTTAATATTCAGTGAAAAATTAACAATAATCACACTTTTATCTTACAATCACAACGAAATCAATTTTATATCAGATGGCGTCTGCAGATGAGAATTAACAAATAATCATTGTGCTATTCGATTCATATCCACCGTTGGTTATAAGTTTAATATTATTTCAATTCGGATTTCGTCTTCAGAATCCATGACCTATTCAGAGGACACATTGACCAGCCGAAAGCCAACCGAAAAAGAGCTCAAAATCAGTGACGTTGCAACTAAGGTAAATTTGATTCAATTTGTCATTTATTTCAAAATTAACTTTTTTCCATTTTGAATATGGTGCAGGAATTCTTGGAGACGCTGAAAGCAGCCGATGTATTACCACCCGATTGGGAAGTAGTTTTTCCAGATTGCCCAATCGATGGAAATGAAGAGTCAAATGGTGAATTCAGTGTGTCAGGGTAATGTCAAAGCAAAAAAAAAAAAAAAAAAAACTTTTTCGCTCAAATATTTAATGAATGATGTACTTTCTAATAGTGTTAAATGGATAAATGATGACGAGAGTAAAACATACACATACTGTTGGCCAATGGACTGGTTGCCGCAAGAGTTTCCGAACATACGAATTATTGGCTTAAACTATGAGACATCAATAAGCGAATGGTCATTGAATATGTTGTGTCCGTGTGAGAAAAAGAAAAGTTCATTGCATGATCGATCTGAAGAATTATTGAATGCATTAAGTGCATCGAATGTAGGCCGAGATCGTCCTGTGATTTGGGTTGGCCACTCAATGGGTGGCCTTGTGGCCAAAAGTATTATAGTCCAATCACTTTTAAGTGCTGAAAATGGTAAACGTGCCATTGCTGAAAACACAAGGGCCATATTGTTTCTGGGCACACCACACAAAGGTTCACCCGTTGCCAAACTAAAACAACATGTACAAATGGTTTTTTCGCCAACAATTGAAGTCAAAGAATTGCGTGAAAACAGTCAACATTTGTTGCATTTACAACAAAATTTCGAAAAAGCACTGAACGTCTTACCAAAACCAATAAAAATAGTCAGTATTGCTGAAGGCTGTCCCACCAATATTACTGCATTTAAATTTCCCATGCAATTTGTAACACAAGAATCGGCCAAGCTCGATGTCGGTGAATTTTATGTGCTGAACGAAAACCATCTTGGATTGTCAAAGCCAATCTTTCGCCAGTCGTTTCTTTATCAACGTCTTGTCAAAATAATCGGTGATGTTATTAATACCGCCACACAAGAGGCTACCGAAGCAGCTAAAAAAGTACAAAACCATGACACCGGATTTGAAAAATTATCAAAGGACCATGATGCTATTATGTGAAAAATAAAATCCTCATTTACCATTTGTATTCATTACATTTTTGTTTGTGCATCCTGTAAATGTTTAATTTTAAGCGTTTGTGATAAAAAACGATTCATTTAGACTTATACCAGATTCTTCAGATATGTTGTCAACTATATGGATTATGGAATGATGATTCAGTCTTTTCATGAAAATGTAGCTTTCGTAATATTTATAAGTATAATAAAGTAATGAATGCTTTTAATATTTTCAATGTGTCGAGTATTCATTTTACAACAATCGCATCTACTTTTTTCCACACTTTTAGTCCTTTTCTCTTTATTTTTCATAAAGCGGTGCTCTCGAATATTAATATACAAATTCTTAGGAAAAACCTCATTTACAAGAAAAATAATTTTCCTGGACGAATTTTCCAAAAAGAAAAATATTGTTTTCGTGGATTGGGCTCAGGAATCTGAAAAAATAGGTTTCAAGTTGATAGCTGATACCTTACTTGAGTTATGCGTGGTACAAACAAACCGAAAACGATTCTAAAGCTTGATTATACATCAAGCAAAAGAATTTACCTTCAACGCTTGGTACGGCAAATTATGGTAATACAACATCCTCATTACCAAAGGTCTGTGAAGAATAAATGAAACAACCGTCGCTTTAGGTGGTCGGAAAAGAACTAACTTTAATATTCGTAATTGTGTTCAAATATATTACATTCATGTAGTTTTTTTTTAACAAGGCCCAAACGAGAAGGCCTTCATTTGTGCTGGATCGTTATGGATGATATATAGACACATTGTCATTTGGAGAAATTTTTTCACACATTCTTAGAGAAAGAAGCGGGAAAAACAGCCAGGATTATGAAGTATTTCCTATTGTATGACACCAATACTTCATAATCCTGGCCGCTTTTCCCGCTTCCGTTTCCATTTCCGCAGTCGTTGAAACAAACGGTACTTGTGTCGATCATCGTATTTCATAATCTTTGATTCCTAAGAATCTTTTGCTGAACAAAGTTCTCACCGATCCGATCATCGCTATAAAATTGAAAATTATTGAAAAATACAAAATTCTAATATAAATAATAAATTTAACTTACACTGCTTCTGCACTTGATAAATTATTGATTTGTATTTTAAAAAATTCATTTTTAACTTCTTTTTATAGAAATTATTCGATAACTTAGAGAATTTCAAGAGTGCCGAATGTAATTGTTTTGCTTGTAAGTGGTATCGAAATGCCTTTAAGTTGATTTAAACAATAAATTAATCAAACAGTATACTTATAAGTAGAACAAAACCAAAATACCATTTCATTCGGGAAATAATTGTATCGTAAATTCCTTTAAAATTTTAAATACCAAAGAAATTGTCCGCTTTCGAGAAAAATACGGTTATGACGATATCGGCTCATTTTCTGCAAAGTAGGTAGTAAGTAATAACATACTTGGTTTTGTCCTCCGTCGTTGGATAATTCTTTAAACTTTCTCTAATCTCTTCAACCTGAAAATGAATTACAGACGAATGAACAAATATTATAAATCAACCAAAGTGAATGGAATGGAAGCGAGTGAATGTGAAAATACCCACCACGCTAGCTTATATGTTGAATTTTGGGTAATCATTTTTACTTTCTTGAATTAGTTGTGTTGCCTCTGCAAAATGGCCACAATAGTTTGTTCGGCTAATGTACTTGCCGATAGTGGCCATTTTGCAGAGGCAGCACAACTGATGGAAAATGTGGTTGTATGTTGGATTCTAAAATCTCTAAAGCAATTTTAAGGTGTGTTGGCCATAAATATGGGTCAACCAAAAATTGCTTTAAAGATTTTTGGCTGACCCAGATTTATGGCCAACACACCTAAACATGTTCCACTTTGAAATAGTTGTGTCTCTTTGTGCAATTTATTCCATAATTGCAGGCCATATTCTAAATGCTCTTCAGTATTCTGTAATCAATAAAATTATATTTTTGTCTAATGGTAAGTGTTTTTTCTCTTTCTCGTTATTTATCTTTCTCTGCTCGTTGTAAAATTATTGATGACAGTATACTTATAAGTAGAACAAAATCAAAATACCATTTCATTCGGGATATAATTGTATTGTAAATTCTTTCTGGGAATTAAAAATTACGCATTTGGTTCGAAAACAAGTCGGAGACTATGTTAAAAATGTCGTGTAAATATGATTCGTGGATCAAGATTGCAATTTTACAAAGTATGAAACTGAACCAAACAATTTGCTTCACGTTGTCGACAAGAGTGAAAACGATATGATTATTCTGAAAGAAGCATTGAACAGATGAACACATTAATTGAAAAAGCGAATCCTTTTGAAAACAAAACAAAGTTAGGCGCACTTTTATGACTATAGTTTGAAGAAATTAACAAAATCATTGATCTTGAACGATTACATGTTGTGAACGTATTAAATTTTTTTTTTGGACACTCAAAACTTTGCATTTTTTACTTTTATTTTATATTTCAATCACTTTGTCATGGCTGAACTTACCACGCCGAAGGTTTTATGAAAAGAGAGGGAAATCTGAAGTGTCATTTGACACTTCGAATAACTATACTAGCGCCACAAACGACATTGGCAATACTTTTTTTTTGATTTTTGTTGCAATAAAATGATTTCAACAATAAATGAGTATTTTCTACAAAAAAAATTGAATTACAGCCAAAAATATGTTTTTTTCTTAATATTTGTATGAAAATGCTGAATTTTACTGTTTTTTTCGATAAAATTTGCAATTTACCTGTATGAAATTTGCTTTACGCGTGTTTATTTTATCATTTTTGAATTCTCCGCCCGATTTTACATGGAAATGAGTCAATTTCAACACTAAAAATTCGATTTAGAAAATTATGAAAAGTCGCTCTTTTCATATTTGTACCGAAGATTGAATAAAAAAAAATTCAGACGTATATTGAACCAATCATGCAATTTTACTAGTTTTTCCATCTGTTCACGAAATTCATGTCACAGAAGATCGTTTTTTTCGTCGTACGGTGATATATATCAAATCATTTTTTTATTTTGCGAAATAAATAATACTTTTATGGCATGCGTAAATATTATCAAATAAAAAACCTCTATCGAGGTGAAGAACGAGTGACGAAACCAAAATTTGAAACACAAAATTTCTGATATCAATTTTGT